TCCCAGATAAATCCAAGAGAATCAAAGACGGAAGACTGTTTGTGAAATTTCCCTCCCATTCTATCAGCTGGTTCCCAGAGAGTTCTCTGTTATCAAGAGAGATTGAACGTAAAAAAAAATCACTGAAATTGTTCACCACTCTTGTTTGGGAAAAACAAAATATTGTCTTCGAATATTCAAACAAAAAATATATTTCCCACCACACACACACACACAACACGAATACCTGGTGTGACAGATCTCTGCAAGATACTGTCGCGAGATTACTCTAAAATGGCATTCTTTGATCAGCCTCACAAGTTGAACCAGTTAGATTTTAAGCGACTTCTTTCGGTAACAAAATTCTGTGACATGACGAAATTTTGCACTGAAAAATGACCATATCGCCCAATGATTTTGGTTGCGACCTATCCCTGAGTCGTAAGACCGAGTTATCGCGTGTTTTCCAATGATAGTTTAATTTTTTACTAACTGCTAAACAGACAACAAGGAAATTTTACTTACAGACGCTGCAGATGATTGAGACCGGAAATGCGCCACCTTTTATTCGGATGCTGTTCTCCTGGAAATTTAATACAAAGTGACAGTGAAATCAGTTGGACTAAGTAATAACCTGATTGTAGTCAAACTCACGCCCTTGATTGTCATAGACACAGAAGCTACACGTATCAGCAGGTCTATCTAAAATGCAAATAAGTTCAATGGAATTACAACGTGCAGATCACCGCACGTAATCGTGACTATGTGGATTTCGCGAGCGTGAACGTGATTACATGCGTTATCGCATTGCGTGCGTGACTGCGCACTTGATCGTGATCGCATACAGAATGTGCATGTGCCTTTCAAGAATGGTTTTTAGTCACGAGGACGCGCACGTGATGTGTTTTAGGGCCATGGTCGTGTGCACGACTGCGTGATCGTGAAATTAAAAGAGTAGTTTTTTCAGCAACGACAAATGTCAAATAAAAAAAATGACTTAAAATTGACAAACTTGTGAAATTCCTGAAGGCTCCTTCAGGAATTGTTTCCAGGTCACTGGAGAAGATACTCCTGCAAAAATGCAAGCAGCAAAGTCATTAATTGGTGAATTAAGTGAAAGAAGTTTGACGCTTTCGCCTCAAAAGGAAAGATGCTTTCAGTTGTGATGCGGACGGCAGCTCAAAGCAATTCTTTTACCTAACGCTTGCTACAGATCTTTATTCTCTTAGCGTAAGATGCCAAAAAAAGATATAATTCAATGTCAAAGTCCAAGAAGAAGTTGCACTTTCCTTTGGCCGCCGTGCGCGTCTCAAAATCGACTGTGCCGAGGTTCCATTATTAAAATGGCACGAAAAAAGCTAAACAACTTAAAATCAGGTTCCTAAGGTCTTTGGTCTCAAAATGACAGGTGTTCAGATTCATATCCAATTAACTTTAATAAGGGCAATTTTGGGTTGTCCACGCATCTTATGTCAGAGCTGAAGGCGTATTTCTACCAAGCGACCGCTTAATATTTTCTCGTGTAAAGCTTCCCACCGTTTTGATTTTTTAAGCAACGAACTGTTGAGACGATGAAAAAATTTTCTTTCAAAAGGATGGGCGTTAGGAGAGAGGAAAGCAAACGGAAGGGCAGGGCAAGAGACAACAGTCCTCTTGTCTTTGATCGATCCATCTTCCTGTTACCATTCTTAGCCTAAATCAAACACAACAGTATCCTGGACGACCGCGAGCTTGCGGCGCTGACTCGTTCTGCATTACGGGCTATCCATGCTCCATGTTTAAATCTTTGTTCAATAAACGTACATGGTCGTCGTTGCTAACTGGATTGGTTTAGTTATTTAAGTTAGCGATTTCAAAAACACGTATCTTGACAACAGAAAGGCTCGCGGTGAATCTGATTACAGCAGACGTCATACGCCACGCTTTTAACATTTTTTCGAAGAATCTACAAACCAAACAAACCATGAATAGATTTTCCGCTCAAGCACAATTTTTATAATTCTTCTTTTTCCACTGGCACGTTTTCTTTCAAAACTTTAGATAGTTTTTCCTCAGTGTAGATGAAATTGAGAAAGAAACTGGTTTCAGTTCACCTCAAGAATCCTCGTACATTCCAATTTTGAACAAACCAAACTTGTCAAGAAAAAAAAGAAGGCACGCAAGAACATAATTTACTTTTTCAGGGTAAAAATTCTTCTCGAATATGTTTTTTCCGAAACGTGTCCTGAGAAGTTTTCTCTGCTTAAATGTCTCCTTCAAAGAATTTTCTTTCACAACGAGTTTGTCGAGGAAATCTTTCTGATGGCGATGTAGCGTTATAGTTTTATGTCTTATCGAAAGTCATCTGAAATAACTCCACTGTTGACTCTGGACTTTCAAGAAAATATTTTATTTCTTTCCTCATTCTCGGAAACCGTACTTGATACAATTCCTTATCATTTTGGAGAGTTGGTGAATTTGGTGTGAATAAAATTATATTCCTTTGTCGACAATTATATTTCTTTTCTCCTCTTGAAAATGCATTGATATTGTAAGGAGCATATTACGGTTGTTATGGATGATTAATTGCCACTATTTTCTGACCTTGAACCGACAAAAATTTCGATAAAGGTTTACAATCAGAATTATTATGGGGTAGCATAAGCAAGCATCTTAGATCTCAGTCCAAGAAAAATTTGGAAAAACTGGCAGATTTCTCAAAGAGAGATGGTAAACACTTGTCAAAACGGAACAAGAAAATCTTGAAAAACTTTGCAAGGTATTAAAAAAGACAGACAATTTCAACATGAAATAAACACTCTGAATTTCTAGTAATAAAGTTTCGATAAGCATATATCAGTCTACTAGATTTCTAAAAGAAAGATGGTAAACATTTTTCGACAATGAGACATGAAAAATCCTTGTGAGGGGCAAAACACAACAAAATAAACAGAAAATAAAAAGAAAAAAGAAACACGCAATTTCCGATTTGGGGGTTGAATAGTCAAAACCCCCAGCGCAACAGCTTTTGAGTATAAAGCACGAAAAAAAAAAAAAAAAAAGGCTACTCACAAAGATTTCACATCATTTGGGTTATGCAAAATCGTCGACAGCTCTTCCACACTTTCGATAGTACATCTCGCGTGCAATCCACTTTCGCCGTAGATCTTCGTGCACGAACTGTTCCTACTTGTAGCAGCTTCGCAGAGGAAAGAAGCTTGGAAAAAAATCATAGCAAGAACAAGCCAGGGATCCATCTGTGGAGAAGTATTGAAAAGTGGGGTCAGGTAATCGTTTAAAGCAGATATTGTGTGATCTTAACAGCGGATTTCGTGATTTACCCACAAATTTATAAACGGCAATGGCCAGAAGTGTCAAGTGGTTATATTAAAAGCGTGTCAACCGCTGTAAAGGACAGGAAATTATACAGATAAAATCTGTTTGAAGTATTTTGAAAGGTTTACCTGCGGCTGGGATAATTCTCGCTTCATATGTTGTATCACCCATCAAGTACTAACATACTGGTAGCTTGGTCATGCTGACACGAGCTGAAATATTGCACTTAGCTGATCTCGTTTCAAAAATTGATTAGTGAACGTGTCAGTGTACCCAAAGACAACTATTTACCACACAACGTGATCGAAAAACGGGTTGCAAAGTGAGATCCAATTTGTATCCATCCAATTAGGTTAATTCTAAAAGGTTTTTAATATAACCTGTCAATCAGGAATACAACCTCATTTATGTTTCATTGGCTAGAAACATAAGAAGTTTGAAATCTTGTTGGTTTTAAATGGCTTTCATTTACATTCACTCGGTTCCATTATTTTTCTACGAAGCTATGATAACTAAAAACCTTTTTAATTAACGTCTGACTGCTCAAGATAATATTTACTGTACACAGTAAATACCTCTGGAAAATATTCTTCTGGGGAGAATCAAGAATTGACTGAAAAATTTTCTTAATCGAATTATGTACTCAGTGTGCCTGATCAGTTACGATTTCTCCCCTAAGCTTTTCATAAAGCGACACAGAGAAAAAAGGAAATGATCAATATTTACTCTGGCAGCTTAGTAACTACGTTCTACTCCGATATTTGTTTGCACAGGATGAGAGGTTTTTCAAGCGTCTGTGACAACTGTAATGACAAAGTGCTAATATCTTTCTAAGTCAGTCAAGTGCATGAGATATTTTAAGTTGATTTAAAGCTCAAAATATATGAAATCTCCGGGGCAATAAATGCTTTTTAATCTTTCATACTGTAAGCAAACTCTTACAAACTGTAAAATTTTAAAATATCAATTAAAAAATTACGCAAAGAGAATTTTCCAGGAAAAAAAACGTTCCGTTTGCGCATGCACCCTACAACAGCGTTAATAATATACATGAAAAAAATTACTCATTTCTGATTGGTTAAGATAAATGCAGTTTTCAGGTAATTCAGTGCAGAAGGGGGTTAATTCAGTGCAAAGAAGTATAACAAACCAGACATTCTGATTGGTCAATAATCAAAGAAACTCACAGATAGCCAGTCAAGTGCGAGCCTTAGATGTCGCAACATTTGGATGCGCTGAAAATTTGCGTGCAAAACAATGGCCGGCGTATTAAGGAGGTTTTCTTTCGCCACCGCAACAACCAGCTCAGCCTATGATGAACAAATTGTGCGCAAGAATTAATAAATCTAATTTAGACTTTGGAAACCTCAACATTTAAGAAAAAGCAAAATGAACATAGACTTAAATAAATTATCATTACAGATAGATTGAAAAAAAAATTTTTTCCTTTAAGACGCGAAACCTGTAGATTGCAACCTTTCCTTTTCTATCACGTGCTGATTCATATCTAACAACAAAATATTTAAATAGGACTGAAGTAAAATATTTCATTTTGATCTGCTAATTTTTCAAAAGTGCAACAGGTTTTATTGTCAATATAGATATCTGCTTTTGACTTCCACGAAGGGCTAGGCTCGAAACTCTTTACGGTGGCCAAATTATCTCCACAAAAAATTTGTTTGCGTTATCATCATTTTCCAGGCATGTGAAAATCTCAAGAGGCTTGAGGCTTGCAACAATGAGGTGAGTTTGAAAATGGGGGTTAATATCTTAGAATGATAAGTGAATGATAAATGGATATTTATAAATTTGTTCCTTCTTCGGGAAAAAGAAGAAACTGAATTCAGTATGACATTGGTGATGCGTCACATCGCTCTGTGATTGGTCTAAGAAACTCTCACTATCTCCTCAACCAATCAAAACCAAAGGTAAAACTAATCGCAATTTGAACACTTCTGCTTTCCCGCGCTTCAGACCGCTAACAATAAGTTACTTTGATTTCTCATTGGGATATTTTCCTGGGTCGCGAATAGCCGTCGTGGCGCACTGATTTGTATGAATCGGTTCCGCGACACCTGTTCTAATGAGCTTTGATTGCGGTTTATTTTCTCTTCCACAGGGGCTTGATTGCTCTTGCCAACCCGGACTATCGTGCAGATTAACCAAACAAATGATAGTGGATGGCAAAACTGTTCCAGTCAAGCAATGCATGGGAGACGATGAGAAGATTAATATCGAGACCATCAACGTGGACCCCGAGGAGCAGAACAATGCAGCAAACGCAGCTTACAGAGTCAAGCGTTTCTTGGGAATTATCACGGTAACTGGAGCGTAGCTAAGAGGGGTGTCCACATACCACCCCATATGAAATAAATGATCTTCCTTCAGATCATTGCGATACGAAGGAATTGAAACCAGCCGCCTCCCAAGGCGTTCGCAAACACATCCAGGGGAATAAGCGCAAAGTGGATCAGCTCTGGTGACGAGCCTCAGACTCGTACCCAGTCGCTTTTCCTTATTCGTGAAGTGATTGATGGGAAGGATTAAGCGGGCTCGTGTTCCACCGAGGGAATGACGGAAGGAGAAAGCGAAACTGAACCACTTTTTCTCTCTCCTTCCCAAGCGCCTTAGCGCACCCTAATCCCCGTCCCAGATTCCTTTGTGGGTAGAAAAAAAAGTGACGACTAGGTGAAAGTATGAACGAACCTTGGACTCAAGATACCATACCCCCAACCACAAGTTTCGTTCCCAGAGACAGTCGTGTTTCTCTATTGTGCGAGATGATATCGATTTCAGGGGAAGAGAATAAAGATTAAATGACAGTTTACCTTCCAATGGAAATCAAACAACACAAGCCAAAAATTTAACTAATCATTGCTATTTTGAACTGATAAAGACTACATCAACAGCTCCTTTCCTGGAAGAACCCACACTCACTTTGAACGGCACGTTTGACGGTAACTTTTTATTAATGTAGGGTAATATTAAACCCAGATCCTACCGTATAATTGAGTATGAGGCTCACTTTTGTTGTTTTGTAAACTAGAAATGTCAATCCGACGTTGATTGCGCCCCAAACTTCTGTTGTCCAATTGTGATCCAGCGCTGTCTCCCGAAAATCCCAGAAGACGGCGCCTGCAACTTCAAGGTACTAAATGCAAACCTGGGCTTTCTTTGCAATCTCTTTAAATCTTCTCTCATCGTCACCCTTAATTGTTAGGGGTCTCACTAGGGTGATGGCTTTTACGGCTAACGGTTATAATTTTAGCAAGTCTACAGTTACGGTTAATCCACAATAACACAAAATGACACATTATACATAGAGAGGAAAACCTATTACGATTAGTCTTTTTCATGACCAACAAATAATCTTGGTTGGCGATTTACAATCTTATATCCAACGCACGCTTATGGTATCATTTTTAAGTCATCTACAGTGTGCACGCACAAATACGACTAGCCTAATTCTAGAATATTTTCGCCTCTGACTTTGATTCGCCTCGTAAATCGCATGAAAAGGTTGTTGGATGTGTTCCTTTTTTCAGGATTTACATCGCTGTGGCTGTATGGATGGATTAGTATGCCAGAAGACTACAGAGATTACAATTTTCCCAGGCATTAAGATTCCTCTTGAGCAGTGCGTCAAGATGTAAACACGTATATTTACGTAGCACCATTAAGTGCTGTAGTAGCTTGAGCAAGAAAAATAAAAATAAAACGGTTCTTTGCTGTGTGTTTCTCTATTTCGCGTCTCTTACACATAGACTGACTTTTCCTAAGTCTTCCCGAAAGGAAGCCTGGGCAAACTGCCTTCTCGTCGTACCCTTTGTCACGTGCGACTGTGACTCGTCCCCAACTCTCTCGCGCTTCTTGAGGCAAACATGGAATGAACGTGAGCTCAAAAGGTTTTCTTTTTCGTGCACTCTATCCCATGAATGTGTCCCCTTTTGCGCTTTTCCTCGAATTGCCTCTTCTCTCTTGCGCCTATAATTTATATTTATTTTTCTCCTCTATGCGCCTATGTCTACATTTTCTTTTACCTTGCGCGCCATCTTTTCATTACGCACCAATCTTGATAGGTTGCCTTTTGCTTTCTTGGGTGACTGTCGTCAATTCACCTGAGGAATTTCTGAACTGAGGAAAAGTTATTTGATTTCATAATTGCCTTTGGGTTACGTCCAGAGTTTTATTAATATATTCATACACTAACTACATCTCCATATATATTTGGGAGTGCTCTACTTACGTATTTTGTCCCCCATTAATCTAGCATTTTTAGTTCCATTTTTAGGGAACATACTTAAACTGTTACCTGAGTTTGATGACTTCTGTCATAATACTTCTCAGGGGGGTGGATGTGTGTGGGTGTGCAGGTGTGTTAGAACATTAACATGAAGCTAAAACTGTTTGATTTTCTAGCGCAGGCACTGATCTCTTTATTTTTTACACCTATAAGTTAAAATTTGAAATGTAAATAATAATTTAGGGCTTGTACTGCGCAAATCAACATATGAATAGTATCAATGCGCATTCCATAATAATCCAAAAACAAAAACAATATTATGTCAAAAGTTAAGAAAACATATCCCCTTTAAATTTTAGAAATATCAGCTCGGATCTAATATGAAGTACTTTTGAAGAGAATCCAAAATTGGATTTTAAGTGTCCAATAAAGCGCTGTTTTTCATTCTTCACTCACTCAGACCAAGTAGAGCCAGGAACCTAAAAAAGGTAAAATTACTTTGTTTGAAAATGTAAAAAAAAAAAAAAAAAAAAAAAAATATATATATATATATAAATGATATAACGTTACTTTCCGCCGACTTTACGCCAACTAAGTGTAATAAGCAAGGTTTACAACACTAGGGCCGATTTTACGCGGACAACAATCCTCAGTATACATAAAAACTCACAAACTCACAGTATAAAATGGTACATTCCCACTTTCAAAGCCGTAGCTTATGTAGGATGGGAAGGATTGAGAACGTCTTAACAAGCCGCAGCTTTTACTAGACGCGAAACCACTGGTATTAATGGCATCGCGGCTTAAGTAAGGCGCAAACTTACACTGTGCAAGCGCAATTTTTCCCGCGTTTGGGCGTTTTTCCCGCGCTCGCCACCACTCGCGCAACCGAGAGCCATTTGTAAGAGTACTTCGCAGCTTAGTAAGCCGCGCTCCTAGGAACAGTACACTTCGCGTCCTATGTAAGGTACGAATTATTATCCCCGTATACACGGCAGTATTGACACAGTTATAAAGATTTATATTACAGACATTTTCGGAAGTATTTGTGATGATTTATCAAATGTTATCAGCTTAGCCAGTTTATTAATTGCACTTTTTACGTGACATCGCACGTGACGTACTGCACCAGCTATAGCAGCACGCGTGTCTGATCGCGCGTCTGATCGCGCTTGTCTTGTTCCACGTGTACACCATTCGAGATTTAGTGTGAGGGATTTATTGCCTGAAATGCACAGCAATTTTCTTTGCATTGTGTGGGCTCTATTTTAAAAGTGTTCAGAACCTTTCAGCAATTCCATAACGTACTACTTACCTCTCAATCTTCTCATCTAGCCACGCTTTATTTAGCAAGTTATTGAGCCAAGACTCCGGCAGTTTACTGGCACCCAGTTTACAGCCTAACAGCGCCCCCGCTACAGCGCCATTTGTGTCAGCGTCTCCAGCCTGAGAAGAAATGTAGGTCCGTAATTTAGTGCGTGAAAAAAGAAAATATACAGAACCAGTTAGAAATACGTGTTGATTTAACCTTCACTGAATTTTGCAGTAAATCAAGATTTACGCTTAAATGACTTTCTTATATATATATCAAATAAAATCGCACCAGTATCTTCAAAGATACTCACAAAATTTCTGAGTATCGTGAACATTTTTCTTACAAACTCCCAAAGTTCTCTTAACTAAGTACAGTGGTGGTATGAGTAGTAGATTAAAATATTTTACACATAGAGACACAATATTCGTAAAGTAAGAGGATGTTTCACACTCCCCTTAGCAATTCAGACAAAGTCTCCGTAGAAACTACAATTCATTTACACTCGTCAAAACGATAATTTTTAACAACAAAAATCCAATAAGATATTGATTGCTTCCAGGCGTCAGACGTACCTCAAATGCCACATCCTCTATAGCAGCACGAAAATCATCTTGCCTCAATGACCAAATTCCAGCGCCTAAGCATTTGTAAGTGTAGCCTATTTTGCCATGTCCGTCAAGTTGTAGATTTTTCAATGACTTAGCAAACACGTGCTTTTTCAAACCCTCTTCCTAAAAACCAATTTACGAGACAAGGTCATCACTCTGGTTTTAACCAACTGACAAGCAACGTGCTGATGCTCTAAGTCGCCGGGGGGGGGGAGTGGGGGTCGGAGCATATTACCTGATTAACCAATAGCCCTCTGTGACTTGCTTCTTATCCCCCCCTCCCTCATTGGCACTTAATTGGACGTCAATTCTCTACATTCCCCACTTTTAGTTACTCCAACGAATCTCAGAACGCATTTAGAGTAATAATTTCATATATACTTTTAAGTGCCAGAAATAAAAATGAATTGGTTTGGAGAGTACAATTCACATTTAGAGGAACAATTTCAAGAGAGGCCTGAATAGCCGTCACTAAGAAAGCCGAGCGTGAGGTTCGGAGACGCTTTTATAGGCAGCATTGCTTAGGGAAGGAGTGTTTAACTCTTTTCTTACATGCGTACTTCAGGGAACTCGCATCTGTTCACCACAGAACCACGAAGCCTTAGTAGCTGGTAGGAGTGTTTAATTGGACAATGGCAAATTGCACAAATTGGAGTGCATACCCTGGTTGTCTAAGGGCTGAATAAAGCTAGTCGCTCTGACCAAGGGCTACTGCTTCAAACGTCATCTTTAGAGTCTTTAAGGTGGTCAGTTAATTTCATCAACTCAGTTAATAAAACTAAATTACCTTGTTGTACTCTCACACCGACACAGCACCACAGTTTCTTTAGAAACTTACCCCCTTTAAGCTACGGTAACAGCCCGTTAGTTATTCCTTCAATGGGTAGCATAAAGCATTATATGAAAATCAGGATGCGCAACGGTTACATTTCCCACCAGCTTTCACGAGGCTTCTTCGAGGTGCTCCATAACAAATTATCGAAAATTACCTGCTCTTCAGTTTCAAGTGTAGCACTGGCATAACTACAAGCCGTCTCTATCAATGCCTCAACGTCATAGCTTCCAGACTCCTCCACAAAGCACTTTCCTTGCAACATCATTGCAATGGCTGTTGTCACAACGACACAAGACGCAATACATCTTGGGTCTGCATGGGTGACTTTACAAGCCGCCTTGGTGTTTTCTATCACTGCATAAATGTCACCAAAGTTATGGACCCCTAGAATTGAAGTGCGCATGACACCTCCGTTTGGAGCTACAAAGCGACCTGAAGAATCCCAAACGTACTCGGCTGCCTGAGAGCAAAGAGCAGAGGATAAACGATAAGTTTATATGAGAAGCTAAAATTTCCCCTCCCCCCCACCCCTTTTCCGTCTCTCCTTCCATTTCATTGTTGAGGCTATTCCTCAACCAGTTGTTAAGTCCATTCCGCAGTTGTACATTTTTCTGTAGATACGTAAGACCATGATGCCTCAGCAGCTTGTTCTTTAATTTTCATCTTTATTTTGTATCAATCGCACATAGTGATGCCAGTTTGCTCTGAAATAGTTTGCTGGCTTGTGTTTTCGAGACCTTTGTTAACATTAAAACCACAATGAGTGACCAACACAGAATTTCTCCTTACAATATCAATACAAAATCAAGCAGACAAGTGATGCGAATAAAGAAAACTATCACTTGGGAGATCATCAGTTGATCCAATACCAAACTCTCAGAACTAACATCATAAGAATTGTATGGCACACAGTAATGAGAGTTACTAAATGTGATCTTGAGGATGAAAGGGTTTATTACTCAGGCCAGGGCAACTTCCTGACTATTTCATGATTATTCATCTGTACCTTGTGTGGATCAGTAAGAAAGTCAGGATGATGTAAAACACGGCGTGTAGTGCTGCCAATTCCCATTCCACCTATATCACCCAGCTCTGGAAAACCCCTCCTGCTCCAATATTTCATTTTTTTGGCAAAATCAAGGGGGACCATCTGCAAAAAATAAAACAGCCAATACTCCCAATCAGTATTCAAATATACTTCACATATTTTATCTTTTAAGGTGGTTTACCTCAGTCACTCTAGAGCTCTTTATGTCTTAGAGTCTTCACTTGGACCAGGGGGGGCCCTTTGCAGTAGAGCTTCAAGATGGACCACATCATCTTGGATGTGGTTTTATTTCGTACACCTAAGTGGTAACCTTTTTTGTTTGGTTGAAGTGTGTGGGCATGTTAATTTCGTCAAACAATTTTACACTAAAATTAGTTTTATTTTACCTTTGTCCAACCTTCCCCAACACTGATTACAAATGTCCATCTCTTATCCCGGTTGTTACAGAATGAGGTGACTAAGAGGATTACTCCCCCTCCCTGCATGGAGGTTTGCAGGATACCCTCTGCCCCCCTCCTAGCATTTTATCAAGTTTCCAGACAGTTTACTGCCCAATATAATTTCTGAGTAGAGAGGGACAATGTGCGAGTGCAATGTCTTGTCCAAGAGCACCCCACACTGATGTCACAAAGGGTCAAACCCAGAGCTCTTGGTCTGGAGCCCAATGTGCAAGCTGCACTTAAACCACAAGGCCAGTACAGCTTCCACTCCATATTCAAAGAAGGTCACTGGCACTCAGAGCAGAAGGATTTAATTTGTAATCAGTTTCCTTCTAAAACCAGCCCAAATTTAGAGGATCATATGACTGTATTAATGTTAAAATTTTTAACCTTTCCTTTGTTGTCCAACAGAGACTGCAAAATCAAAATCATTTGATCTGAGTCATCAGTCCAGTCTCCAGTTTCCCATTTCCTCCGATGAGAATCATTGTTCTTCATTTCATATTCCAAATGTATCCTTTTCTGACTTGTACTGAAATATCCCTTGTCTTTATTTACAATGCCTCTGCGACTGTAAATCTGTAAGAATCATACAAGAATAAAGGCTTATTACTGATTAATAGAGTCTGAGGAGGTGAAGAAAGGAGACAAGTGCAATTATGGCTAGATAGAGGGAATGGCATATCTGATTTAGGGTTAATATTCTCCGATTTACCACTTAAGTTTTTAAACTCTTTCTTTGATTCCACTATTTTCTGCTGCAATTTTCCAATTTCACAACTTTACCTTAAGTAATGATTTTTTACTTTTTCGTTTGAAATTTATTTTAATTATAGCAAAATAAGGTGAAAGTTGCCACTTAAAGGAGATTGACTCCCAACAGTTTGATAAAAACAAATTCTCCTTAACAGTATCAAATGAATGTTTAGAGAGCAGTATGGAGAATATGCATACTGATGGTTAACATGTGAGGCATGACTAAATGCAATCAGAAAGAGACCTTATAAGATAAAACCTTGGTTTTCAAGATGACACCAAGATATATGGCTTCCCCTTCCTTGAAAAATCTTTGATAGTGTTCAGAAATGGTTGGATTTTCAGAAATATGGGTAATAAAATTTAGAAAAATTTTATTTGCATTTCACTCTGACTGGAAGTTTTGCAGGTATACATAATTATACATACATACACACACACACACAGACATACATATATTTTATACATACATATAGAGACATTATTTGCTGAGTTGCAATTTACCTCTGCAGCTTCAGATTTAGTCATAAACTCTGTTAAAAGTCCTATAGCATCTCCGATACAGTTTCCATAAATGACACCTTTGATACGATCCACCAAGTCCTTCTTGTTCAAAGAAGATTTGACATTGAAAGAAATGGGTGGGTCTGTTGCTCGTTCATCTTGTTGTTCTGTTAAAGATTGACCTTCCTGAGACCCAGCCACATTGGAGGATTCTTCTTTGTTAGCATTTTGTATGCTGGTATCAGTGACTTTAGACTCTTGTTCAACTGAGATACTGGCAGTACCAGGCTGTTACAGAGATTGAAATGATAAATCTTAAAAATTATTGCTTCAGTTGATTTTTTTTTTTTTTGGTATTTTATTTGTTTTTGGGTTTTTACAGTTTTTACAAGTACGCAAGATATATCACAAATTTCTACATGCATAAATTTACATTACACTACTCTATTACACAAAGAAAATACCACTACACTGGAGTACGAGAATAAAAGAAAAAATAAAAAAAAATAAAAAAAAGAGGCATCGCGTATTGATATAAATAATAAATTAGTTCAGCTATTGTTCTATCAGTTGAAGGAGGGGTTTCCATTTGTTGTAATGGATCTCAAGTTTATTATTCTTTCTGGCTATAAAACGTTCTATTTGAAACATACTCTTAATTCTTTCGAAAAAGGATTTAAAGGATAGTTGGTTCAGTTGATGACATAAGCAAAACCCTTTGTCACCAAACTGTAATGAAATAAACCCCATGAAGAGAATGGGGTAGACTAGCATTTTAAAATACCAGAGTTTTAACCCTTGAACTCCCAGAAGTGACCAAGATAGAATTTCTCCTTACAATATCAAAACTGTAATATCAGGCAGACATTGAGATGAGAATAAAGACAATATATATTTGGGGATTGTTAGTTGATCTAATATCAAATTCTCCAAGCTCATATCATAAGAATTGTATGGAGGACAGTAAGGAGAATTACCAATGAGATCTTCGTAGTGAAAGGGTTAATATAAACCCTAGTTTCTGAGGGAAACCATCTGGGTGTGGCTTAAACTTTCTGGGACCCTTTACTGATAACAGCACACAACCTTAAGCTACCACAATTTTTACCATAATGACTTGTATGATCTTTATGCTTTAACTCTCAAGATCCATAGAGTAATTCTCCACACTGAATGCTATACATTTTCTCTTAAACAAGACTGGAGAATTTGGGTTTCATCAAGATAACATCCTCCAGCTAGTTCATAAGCCTGTATTTTCACATACCTCTTTAAAATATAACATACTATACATACTATTCATTACTGGCATTTTTCTCTTCTTTAATTCTAACAATCCTTCACGAAAACACAATGTAGATGATTTATCTGTTTATCTCATTTTATTGTATCTTTTTATTATTGATTGCTTGAGATTTCCTTTTTTTCGCAACAAAGATTGGCACTTGGCGGCAAAAATTGAAAAAAGGCTTTCAGTAGCACTTACAAGCTTATCGAAAAGATGAAGTAGAAAGGCTGCTCATGCATGTTACACACAAAACTTAAGATTAAATTTAAACACTTAATGATGCAGCTTAGAGGAAAATGTTTACGTGCTTATTCACATGTGGCGAAACCCTCTGGCAACTGACTCAATTTTCTAATTTCGTTACTTTCGTCCGAGGAGGAGACAGCCATCGAGCGAGTGATGTTCCACTGTAGATATATTTACTTACGGCTCTAAATACGAGAGGCTTATACTTAAAATGCCCTAAATATTTTTCATCTGATCTTGGAAGCTGAAAATTGTCAAAACTAGAGAGCAATACGTTTGCAATCAAATCTATAGATGCTTGGTTACTTAACAGAGAAAGAAAAATCAAGTCACTTGCCTTGGTAATTTCTGCAGTGTCGTTCTCAGGGTCTGTTCTGCAGTCTACATCGGCAGTTTGTAAGGAGTTATTTTGGGGATTACTTGCCATTGTACGTCAAAATCTTTTTGCAGACTGCCTTAAGTATCTACCATGGAGAGAGTGTCTCAAATAATCGAACGACTGCGAGAGAAGCAGCCAAACACTTCCATTGAAGACATGGTCTGCAAACTTCCGCATTGAGAAACGAAATTGTCTATTTAGTACGTCATGTTCGACTACATGTAATGTGTACTAATACCTGGGGGAAAAAAAAGCAAAACCTGCAGAAAATTCAATTGACGTGAAGGCCGGCTGAGTGAAGGGAGGAAGGAGGAGTGAAAAGAGAGACATCGCTCCAAAAAGACAGAAAAAAAGAAAAGAGAAGAATTTCCTCCAACAGCGTGTCTTTTAATCTTTCACTCTCAAGATATGCAATAAATAAGAATTCTCGATACAATTTACCACTTAATGTACAAAAAACTCGCTTAAAAACACTACTTACTTTGATTTTTGGACAGAAAAATGGATTTAAATTACTTGAAACATTATTCTTTGTATTACTTGAGTGGTACCAATTTCAGTGACCCTCAGTACAGCTGGTCGAGAACGATAAAAACAGGCCGGAGGGACCTGGTAAAGGATGACCGCGACCGCTAATGGAGCTGAAAATTACAGTGATTATGGGTAAACAAATTCGGGACTTTAACAACTGACCGCCTGATACTGGACTGTGGATAGAAATGTTAAGGTTGATTTAAACCTAAGGGGAGAATGTCCCTGTAGAAAACGTGGTTAAGTAACGAGTACCTCTCCCTCTCCCACCACTGGGCCTTAAGTCAACAATCACAGTACTTTTTTTGTCCCTGCTGCAATATCGGTCAGCGGTCTGCTAGTCTCCAATCTTTGCACGGTATGGGTATAATCAAATACTTTTCGCGTCAATTATGATCAGTCAGAATTTTTCCTCGAGTGTGGTTTCGTACTAGTATCCTAACCGTCAGGCATGTTCTTGCTGCCTTTTCTTCGTTTGATTTTCATTGACCTTGTATGTCATTACTGTAAATTAATTCTTATGTATTTAGGACACCGCTGGTTATTTCATTCAATTTTGAGAATTTATCGGTGTGTTTGCTGCAGTCCCTAATTGCAACGTATCAATAGCGCCACTGAATACTTGACGACAAACACATTTTCAATCTTCAATTCTTAAAATAATGGCAGATAAAAGGAGCCCATTAGATGATAATTTTTCCATGCTACTTTATTTAATTCTAATTATGTTGATTTATCGGATTATTAATGGCATGCAATGATTAATAGCTTTATTTCTCAATCCATCAAAGCTCCCACACGTCACGCAACTTAATTGGTGGTGCGCGCGCTGCGTGACCTAAAGAAAGTGCTGCTGTTCAGGAGACTAGGCCCAAACATTCATACACGATATAGCCCAAAAAGAATTCTGATTGGTCCATCTAACGATACTTAATTTACGATAAACGATATTCAACTGTAATAACTCGCCAAATGAAAGGTTTGGAGACTGGCACGAGTTTCTTGACCAATGAAAACCTATGTAAACTGCACAAGTTTACAATTATTAACAAAATTATTCAATTCGCTGGATATATTAACACCCCCTTGAAAACTCGTTGCCCTTGCTGTCATAGAGATTAGTGTATTCAGTTCCATCTAAAGTTTGTGCAAACTAAGCGCATAGTAGCCAGAAACCGACTAAGTTATACTTTTCCGGGTAAACATTCAATACAGTGCTATCATTACAAGCCCTTGACCTGGAATTAATCAGTATTTAGAAAAATCCAACATTGAGAAAACCAAACGCATAGTGTGAGTCCAACATGATATAGTCTCGCAATCGAAATACAATTTTGGAACCTATAATTAAGCTCAAAACGTTTTTTTTTTAAGAACATTTCTTCATCATTAACTATTTTCCTGTTCTTTTCATTATTGAATCACACCTAACTAGGATTGGGTTCAGACTCATTTCCAGTCTTCAATAAGTTAAGCTACCGTGTCTTTTAAATTGAGGAGAGTTGAGGAGAGGAAAGCATATTCTCTCCTGATGGTCCTTCGTAAGAGATGTCGCAGTATTTTTACGCCTAGATATACCAGGAAGTTGACCTTCTGGGAGCTCCTTCCTTGACTGCCAGTTCAACTGGAAAACTATATCTTCGTCAAGCTTAACACACTGCGTGAAGTCCTCAACTCAGGGGTTTGCCTGCCTGGACTTCCACCGCCATTGTTGGAGCTTACTGTCGGGCCTCGGAGTCTGCCCGAGAGCGAACTTGTCAACGACGTGCTACGGCCTTTACGAAGACATATATAATCTATTTTAATCTTGATGGCCTTTCTGAATTTTTCTGCTCTGAAGGCGTAAAGAAGGGGATTAATAAGTGAATTAAAGCTGAAAAGGATGGTTGGTAGAACGCCCGTGAGAATTTCTCTACTTTGCGGGGACATCACCTCTTGAATGTTCGTCGTAAGCCACAGAAACGCGATGACGATAGGCACCAAGAAAAAGATCATGTTGCTAAGGACTAAAGCTCCGATTCTCCTTGCTAGGGTTCCGTCTCTTTTGATTCCAGCCTTTTTTTCCGTTTTCTTCACAGTTTTAAAAACTTTAATGTAGAAGGGTATGGTGATGAAATACAGGACTATTCCCCACAAGGAAAGTCCAATACTCAGCTCATACGAATGGGGAATGTCTTTGATCGGGCGAATAGGAGTACAGAATGTATTGCCGTCATAGACAGAAATATTGACCAACGGCAAAACAGCGATGCTCACGCCCAAACACCATGTGATTAACACAAGGATGAACGCTATCTTCCGAGTGATTCGTAATGAGGGTTGCATACAGTACACAACTGCCAAATACCGCTCCACGGTGAGAATGAGCGACGTCTTGATGCTAACAATTGCGCTGGAGAGCCAAATAAACCCAAGGGCATTACAGAGATTCTTCATGAATAACATAAACTCTGTGTAGGGCTTCAGTCTTGTGCAGACCAAGATAAGTGTGTAGAGACTGACAAGGAAGTCGCTAAGAGCCATATTGCTCGTTAGACACATAGTCACATTCCTTCGTAATACTCTTGTTGTTAATGTCACTACGATCACTGTAAGATTCAGGATCATGGCAATTGGTGCGATTAGGAACTCGATACTTAAGATTTTGTTATCGATGTCCCAGCAACGGTGTAAAGGGGTGACGCGAATTTCATTGTCAAAACAAGCTTTTATCTCGAGGCATCGTGGAAAGAATCCATGATTTGCATACCCCACAACCTCTTGGCTCGCCTCGAGTCTGTTTACGCGACAATGTCCCATGTTCCCAACCAGGTAATCTCCTTTTCGAAGTTCGGAAGTCTCTATATTAACCCCATTGTTTTTAAACTCGCCTTCCTTCAGAGTGTGGTTCTTCACCAAAGAGCAATTAGCACATGGGTCGTTCCAGGTCACTCCCTTAATTTCCTTGAGCATGCGCAATTTGAGCAGAAAGGTCGGAAGAACGAACTTGGAATTCCCAGATAAATCCAAGAGAATCAAAGACGGAAGACTGTTTGTGAAATTTCCCTCCCATTCTATCAGCTGGTTCCCAGAGAGTTCTCTGTTATCAAGAGAGATTGAACGTAAAAAAAAAATCACTGAAATTGTTCACCACTCTTGTTTGGGAAAAACAAAATATTGTCTTCGAATATTCAAACAAAAAATATATTTCCCACCACACACACACACACAACACGAATACCTGGTGTGACAGATCTCTGCAAGATACTGTCGCGAGATTACTCTAAAATGACAGTCGTGTTTCTCTATTGTGCGAGATGATATCGAATTCAGGGGAAGAGAATAAAGATTAAAAGACAGTTTACCTTCCAATGGAAATCAAAACAATAAAAGCCAAAAACTTAACTAATCATTGCTATTTTGAACTGATAAAGACTACATCAACAGCTCCTTTCCTAGAAGAAACCACGCCCATTTTGAACGGCACGTTTGACGGTAACTATTTATTAATGTAGGGTATTATTAAACCCAGATCCTACTGTATAATTGAGTATGAGGCTCACTTTTGTTGTTTTGTAAACTAGAAATGTCAATCCGACGTTGATTGCGCCCCAAACTTCTGTTGTCCAATTGTGATCCAGCGCTGTCTCCCCAAAATCCTAGAAGACGGCGCCTGCAACTTCAAGGTACTAAAATCCAAACCTGGGCTTTCTTTGCAATCTCTTTAAATCTTCTCTCATCGTTACCCTTCATTGTTAGGGGTCTCACTAAGGTGATGGCTTTTACGGCTAACGGTTATAATTTTGGCAAGTCTACAGTTACGGTTAATCCACAATAACACAAAATGACACATTATACTAGAGAGGAAAACCTATTACGATTAGTCTTTTTCATGACCAACAAATAATCTTGGTTGGCGATTTACAATCTTATATCCAACGCACGCTTATGGTATCATTTTTAAGTCATCTACAGTGCGCACGCACAAATACGGCTAGCCTTATTCTAGAATATTTTCGCCTATGACTTTGATTCGCCTCGTAAATCGCATGAAAAGGTTGTTGGATGTGTTCCTTTTTTCAGGATTTACATCGCTGTGGCTGTATGGATGGATTAGTATGCCAGAAGACTGCAGAGATTACAATTTTCCCAGGCATTAAGATTCCTCTTGAGCAGTGCGTCAAGATGTAAACACGTATATTTACGTAGCACCATTAAGTGCTGTAGTAGCTTGAGCAAGAAAAATAAAAATAAAACGGTTCTTTGCTGTGTGTTTCTCTATTTCGCGTCTCTTACACATAGACTGACTTTTCCTAAGTCTTCCCGAAAGGAAGCCTGGGCATAACTGCCTTCTCGTCGTACCCTTTGTCACGTGCGACTGTGACTCGTCCCCAACTCTCTCGCGCTTCTTGAGGCAAACATGGAATGAACGTGAGCTCAAAAGGTTTTCTTTTTCGTGCACTCTATCCCATGAATGTGTCCCCTTTTGCGCTTTTCCTCGAATTGCCTCTTCTCTCTTGCGCCTATAATTTATATTTATTTTTCTCCTCTATGCGCCTATGTCTACATTTTCTTTTACCTTGCGCGCCATCTTTTCATTACGCACCAATCTTGATAGGTTGCCTTTTGCTTTCTTGGGTGACTGTCGTCAATTCACCTGAGGAATTTCTGAACTGAGGAAAAGTTATTTGATTTCATAATTGCCTTTGGGTTACGTCCAGAGTTTTATTAATATATTCATACACTAACTACATCTCCATATATATTTGGGAGTGCTCTACTTACGTATTTTGTCCCCCATTAATCTAGCATTTTTAGTTCCATTTTTAGGGAACATACTTAAACTGTTACCTGAGTTTGATGACTTCTGTCATAATACTTCTCAGGGGGGTGGATGTGTGTGGGTGTGCAGGTGTGTTAGAACATTAACATGAAGCTAAAACTGTTTGATTTTCTAGCGCAGGCACTGATCTCTTTATTTTTTACACCTATAAGTTAAAATTTGAAATGTAAATAATAATTTAGGGCTTGTACTGCGCAAATCAACATATGAATAGTATCAATGCGCATTCCATAATAATCCAAAAACAAAAACAATATTATGTCAAAAGTTAAGAAAACATATCCCCTTTAAATTTTAGAAATATCAGCTCGGATCTAATGAAGTACTTTTGAAGAGAATCCAAAATTGGATTTTAAGTGTCCAATAAAGCGCTGTTTTTCATTCTTCACTCACTCAGACCAAGTAGAGCCAGGAACCTAAAAAAGGTAAAATTACTTTGTTTGAAAATGTAAAAAAAAAAAAAAAAAAAAAAAAATATATATATATATATATATATATATAGAAATGATATAACGTTACTTTCCGCCGACTTTACGCCAACTAAGTGTAATAAGCAAGGTTTACAACACTAGGGCCGATTTTACGCGGACAACAATCCTCAGTATACATAAAAACTCACAAACTCACAGTATAAAATGGTACATTCCCACTTTCAAAGCCGTAGCTTATGTAGGATGGGAAGGATTGAGAACGTCTTAACAAGCCGCAGCTTTTACTAGACGCGAAACCACTGGTATTAATGGCATCGCGGCTTAAGTAAGGCGCAAACTTACACTGTGCAAGCGCAATTTTTCCCGCGTTTGGGCGTTTTTCCCGCGCTCGCCACCACTCGCGCAACCGAGAGCCATTTGTAAGAGTACTTCGCAGCTTAGTAAGCCGCGCTCCTAGGAACAGTACACTTCGCGTCCTATGTAAGGTACGAATTATTATCCCCGTATACACGGCAGTATTGACACAGTTATAAAGATTTATATTACAGACATTTTCGGAAGTATTTGTGATGATTTATCAAATGTTATCAGCTTAGCCAGTTTATTAATTGCACTTTTTACGTGACATCGCACGTGACGTACTGCACCAGCTATAGCAGCACGCGTGTCTGATCGCGCGTCTGATCGCGCTTGTCTTGTTCCACGTGTACACCATTCGAGATTTAGTGTGAGGGATTTATTGCCTGAAATGCACAGCAATTTTCTTTGCATTGTGTGGGCTCTATTTTAAAAGTGTTCAGAACCTTTCAGCAATTCCATAACGTACTACTTACCTCTCAATCTTCTCATCTAGCCACGCTTTATTTAGCAAGTTATTGAGCCAAGACTCCGGCAGTTTACTGGCACCCAGTTTACAGCCTAACAGCGCCCCCGCTACAGCGCCATTTGTGTCAGCGTCTCCAGCCTGAGAAGAAATGTAGGTCCGTAATTTAGTGCGTGAAAAAAGAAAATATACAGAACCAGTTAGAAATACGTGTTGATTTAACCTTCACTGAATTTTGCAGTAAATCAAGATTTACGCTTAAATGACTTTCTTATATATATATCAAATAAAATCGCACCAGTATCTTCAAAGATACTCACAAAATTTCTGAGTATCGTGAACATTTTTCTTACAAACTCCCAAAGTTCTCTTAACTAAGTACAGTGGTGGTATGAGTAGTAGATTAAAATATTTTACACATAGAGACACAATATTCGTAAAGTAAGAGGATGTTTCACACTCCCCTTAGCAATTCAGACAAAGTCTCCGTAGAAACTACAATTCATTTACACTCGTCAAAACGATAATTTTTAACAACAAAAATCCAATAAGATATTGATTGCTTCCAGGCGTCAGACGTACCTCAAATGCCACATCCTCTATAGCAGCACGAAAATCATCTTGCCTCAATGACCAAATTCCAGCGCCTAAGCATTTGTAAGTGTAGCCTATTTTGCCATGTTCGTCAAGTTGTAGATTTTTCAATGACTTAGCAAACACGTGCTTTTTCAAACCCTCTTCCTAAAAACCAATTTACGAGACAAGGTCATCACTCTGGTTTTAACCAACTGACAAGCAACGTGCTGATGCTCTAAGTCGCCGGGGGGGGGGGGAGTGGGGGTCGGAGCATATTACCTGATTAACCAATAGCCCTCTGTGACTTGCTTCTTATCCCCCCCTCCCTCATTGGCACTTAATTGGACGTCAATTCTCTACATTCCCCACTTTTAGTTACTCCAACGAATCTCAGAACGCATTTAGAGTAATAATTTCATATATACTTTTAAGTGCCAGAAATAAAAATGAATTGGTTTGGAGAGTACAATTCACATTTAGAGGAACAATTTCAAGAGAGGCCTGAATAGCCGTCACTAAGAAAGCCGAGCGTGAGGTTCGGAGACGCTTTTATAGGCAGCATTGCTTAGGGAAGGAGTGTTTAACTCTTTTCTTACATGCGTACTTCAGGGAACTCGCATCTGTTCACCACAGAACCACGAAGCCTTAGTAGCTGGTAGGAGTGTTTAATTGGACAATGGCAAATTGCACAAATTGGAGTGCATACCCTGGTTGTCTAAGGGCTGAATAAAGCTAGTCGCTCTGACCAAGGGCTACTGCTTCAAACGTCATCTTTAGAGTCTTTAAGGTGGTCAGTTAATTTCATCAACTCAGTTAATAAAACTAAATTACCTTGTTGTACTCTCACACCGACACAGCACCACAGTTTCTTTAGAAACTTACCCCCTTTAAGCTACGGTAACAGCCCGTTAGTTATTCCTTCAATGGGTAGCATAAAGCATTATATGAAAATCAGGATGCGCAACGGTTACATTTCCCACCAGCTTTCACGAGGCTTCTTCGAGGTGCTCCATAACAAATTATCGAAAATTACCTGCTCTTCAGTTTCAAGTGTAGCACTGGCATAACTACAAGCCGTCTCTATCAATGCCTCAACGTCATAGCTTCCAGACTCCTCCACAAAGCACTTTCCTTGCAACATCATTGCAATGGCTGTTGTCACAACGACACAAGACGCAATACATCTTGGGTCTGCATGGGTGACTTTACAAGCCGCCTTGGTGTTTTCTATCACTGCATAAATGTCACCAAAGTTATGGACCCCTAGAATTGAAGTGCGCATGACACCTCCGTTTGGAGCTACAAAGCGACCTGAAGAATCCCAAACGTACTCGGCTGCCTGAGAGCAAAGAGCAGAGGATAAACGATAAGTTTATATGAGAAGCTAAAATTTCCCCTCCCCCCCACCCCTTTTCCGTCTCTCCTTCCATTTCATTGTTGAGGCTATTCCTCAACCAGTTGTTAAGTCCATTCCGCAGTTGTACATTTTTCTGTAGATACGTAAGACCATGATGCCTCAGCAGCTTGTTCTTTAATTTTCATCTTTATTTTGTATCAATCGCACATAGTGATGCCAGTTTGCTCTGAAATAGTTTGCTGGCTTGTGTTTTCGAGACCTTTGTTAACATTAAAACCACAATGAGTGACCAACACAGAATTTCTCCTTACAATATCAATACAAAATCAAGCAGACAAGTGATGCGAATAAAGAAAACTATCACTTGGGAGATCATCAGTTGATCCAATACCAAACTCTCAGAACTAACATCATAAGAATTGTATGGCACACAGTAATGAGAGTTACTAAATGTGATCTTGAGGATGAAAGGGTTTATTACTCAGGCCAGGGCAACTTCCTGACTATTTCATGATTATTCATCTGTACCTTGTGTGGATCAGTAAGAAAGTCAGGATGATGTAAAACACGGCGTGTAGTGCTGCCAATTCCCATTCCACCTATATCACCCAGCTCTGGAAAACCCCTCCTGCTCCAATATTTCATTTTTTTGGCAAAATCAAGGGGGACCATCTGCAAAAAATAAAACAGCCAATACTCCCAATCAGTATTCAAATATACTTCACATATTTTATCTTTTAAGGTGGTTTACCTCAGTCACTCTAGAGCTCTTTATGTCTTAGAGTCTTCACTTGGACCAGGGGGGGCCCTTTGCAGTAGAGCTTCAAGATGGACCACATCATCTTGGATGTGGTTTTATTTCGTACACCTAAGTGGTAACCTTTTTTGTTTGGTTGAAGTGTGTGGGCATGTTAATTTCGTCAAACAATTTTACACTAAAATTAGTTTTATTTTACCTTTGTCCAACCTTCCCCAACACTGATTACAAATGTCCATCTCTTATCCCGGTTGTTACAGAATGAGGTGACTAGGAGGATTACTCCCCCCCTCCCTGCATGGAGGTTTGCAGGATACCCTCTGCCCCCCTCCTAGCATTTTATCAAGTTTCCAGACAGTTTACTGCCCAATATAATTTCTGAGTAGAGAGGGACAATGTGCGAGTGCAATGTCTTGTCCAAGAGCACCCCACACTGATGTCACAAAGGGTCAAACCCAGAGCTCTTGGTCTGGAGCCCAATGTGCAAGCTGCACTTAAACCACAAGGCCAGTACAGCTTCCACTCCATATTCAAAGAAGGTCACTGGCACTCAGAGCAGAAGGATTTAATTTGTAATCAGTTTCCTTCTAAAACCAGCCCAAATTTAGAGGATCATATGACTGTATTAATGTTAAAATTTTTAACCTTTCCTTTGTTGTCCAACAGAGACTGCAAAATCAAAATCATTTGATCTGAGTCATCAGTCCAGTCTCCAGTTTCCCATTTCCTCCGATGAGAATCATTGTTCTTCATTTCATATTCCAAATGTATCCTTTTCTGACTTGTACTGAAATATCCCTTGTCTTTATTTACAATGCCTCCGTGACTGTAAATCTGTAAGAATCATACAAGAATAAAGGCTTATTACTGACTAATAGAGTCTAGGGAGGTGAAGAAAGGAGACAAGTGCAATTATGGCTAGGTAGAGGGAATGGCATATCTGATTTAGGGTTAATATTCTCCGATTTACCACTTAAGTTTTTAAACTCTTTCTTTGATTCCACTATTTTCTGCTGCAATTTTCCAATTTCACAACTTTACCTTAAGTAATGATTTTTTACTTTTTCGTTTGAAATTTATTTTAATTATAGCAAAATAAGGTGAAAGTTGCCACTTAAAGGAGATTGACTCCCAACAGTTTGATAAAAACAAATTCTCCTTAACAGTATCAAATGAATGTTTAGAGAGCAGTATGGAGAATATGCATACTGATGGTTAACATGTGAGGCATGACTAAATGCAATCAGAAAGAGACCTTATAAGATAAAACCTTGGTTTTCAAGATGACACCAAGATATATGGCTTCCCCTTCCTTGAAAAATCTTTGATAGTGTTCAGAAATGGTTGGATTTTCAGAAATATGGGTAATAAAATTTAGAAAAATTTTATTTGCATTTCACTCTGACTGGAAGTTTTGCAGGTATACATAATTATACATACATACACACACACACACAGACATACATATATTTTATACATACATATAGAGACATTATTTGCTAAGTTGCAATTTACCTCTGCAGCTTTAGATTTAGTCATAAACTCTGTTAAAAGTCCTATAGCATCTCCGATACAGTTTCCATAAATGACACCTTTGATACGATCCACCAAGTCCTTCTTGTTCAAAGAAGATTTGACATTGAAAGAAATGGGTGGGTCTGTTGCTCGTTCATCTTGTTGTTCTGTTAAAGATTGACCTTCCTGAGACCCAGCCACATTGGAGGATTCTTCTTTGTTAGCATTTTGTATGCTGGTATCAGTGACTTTAGACTCTTGTTCAACTGAGATGCTGGCAGTAACAGGCTGTTACAGAGATTGAAATGATAAATCTTAAAAATTATTGCTTCAGTTGATTTTTTTTTTTTTTGTATTTTATTTGTTTTTGGGTTTTTACAGTTTTTACAAGTACACAAGATACATCACAAATTTCTACATGCATAAATTTACATTACGCTACTCTATTACACAAAGGAAATACCACTACACTGGACTATGAGAATTAAAAAAAAAAAAAAAAAAAAAAAAAAAAAGAGGCATCGCGTATTGATATAAATAATAAATTAGTTCAGCTATTGTTCTATCAGTTGAAGGAGGGGTTTCCATTTGTTGTAATGGATCTCAAGTTTATTATTCTTTCTGGCTATAAAACGTTCTATTTGAAACATACTCTTAATTCTTTCGAAAAAGGATTTAAAGGATAGTTGGTTCAGTTGATGACATAAGCAAAACCCTTTGTCACCAAACTGTAATGAAATAAACCCCATGAAGAGAATGGGGTAGACTAGCATTTTAAAATACCAGAGTTTTAACCCTTGAACTCCCAGAAGTGACAGAGATAGAATTTCTCCTTACAATATCAAAACTGTAATATCAGGCAGACATTGAGATGAGAATAAAGACAATATATATTGGGGGATTGTTAGTTGATCTAATATCAAATTCTCCAAGCTCATATCATAAGAATTGTATGGAGGACAGTAAGGAGAATTACCAATGAGATCTTGGTAGTGAAAGGGTTAATATAAACCCTAGTTTCTGAGGGAAACCATCTGGGTGTGGCTTAAACTTTCTGGGACCCTTTACTGATAACAGCACACAACCTTAAGCTACCACAATTTTTACCATAATGACTTGTATGATCTTTATGCTTTAACTCTCAAGATCCATAGAGTAATTCTCCACACTGAATGCTATACATTTTCTCTTAAACAAGACTGGAGAATTTGGGTTTCATCAAGATAACATCCTCCAGCTAGTTCATAAGCCTGTATTTTCACATACCTCTTTAAAATATAACATACTATACATACTGTTCATTACTGGCATTTTTCTCTTCTTTAATTCTAACAATCCTTCGCGAAAACATAATGTAGATGATTTATCTGTTTATCTCATTTTATTGTATCTTTTTATTATTGATTGCTTGAGATTTCCTTTTTTTCGCAACAAAGATTGGCACTTGGCGGCAAAAATTGAAAAAAGGCTTTCAGTAGCACTTACAAGCTTATCAAAAAGATGAAGTAGAAAAGGCTGCTCATGCATGTTACACACCGAACTTAAGATTAAATTTAAACACTTAATGATGCAGCTTAGAGGAAAAAATGTTTACGTGCTTATTCACATGTGGCGAAACCCTCTGGCAACTGACTCAATTTTCTAATTTCGTTACTTTCGTCCGAGGAGGAGACAGCCATCGAGCGAGTGATGTTCCACTGTAGATATATTTACTTACGGCTCTAAATACGAGAGGCTTATACTTAAAATGCCCTAAATATTTTTCATCTGATCTTGGAAGCTGAAAATTGTCAAAACTAGAGAGCAATACGTTTGCAATCAAATCTATAGATGCTTGGTTACTTAACAGAGAAAGAAAAATCAAGTCACTTGCCTTGGTAATTTCTGCAGTGTCGTTCTCAGGGTCTGTTCTGCAGTCTACATCGGCAGTTTGTAAGGAGTTATTTTGGGGATTACTTGCCATTGTACGTCAAAATCTTTTTTCAGACTGCCTTAAGTATCTACCATGGAGAGAGTGTCTCAAATAATCGAACGACTGCGAGAGAAGCAGCCAAACGCTTCCATTGAAGACATGGTCTGCAAACTTCCGCCTTGAGAAACGAAATTGTCTATTTAGTACGTCATGTTCGACTACATGTAATGTGAACTAATACGTGGGGGGGAAAAAAGCAAAACCTGCAGAAAATTCAATTGACGTGAAGGCCGGCTGGGTGAAGGGAGGAAGGAAGAGTGAAAAGAGAGACATCGCTCCAAAAAGACAGAAAAAAAGAAAAGAGAAGAACTTCCTCCAACAGCGTGTCTTTTAACCTTTCACTTTCAAGATATGCAATGAATAAGAATTCTCGATACAATTTACCACTTAATGTACTAAAAACTCGCTTAAAAACACTACTTACTTTGATTTTTGGACAGAAAAATGGATTTAAATTACTTGAAACATTATTCTTTGTATTACTTGAGTGGTACCAATTTCAGTGACCCTCAGTACAGCTGGTCGAGAACGATAAAAACAGGCCGGAGGGACCTGGTAAAGGATGACCGCGACCGCTAATGGAGCTGAAAATTACAGTGATTATGGGTAAACAAATTCGGGACTTTAACAACTGACCGCCTGATACTGGACTGTGGATAGAAATGTTAAGGTTGATTTAAACCTAAGGGGAGAATGTCCCCGTAGAAAACGTGGTTAAGTAACGAGTACCTCTCCCTCTCCCTCTCCCACCACTGGGCCTTAAGTCAACAATCACAGTACTTTTTTTGTCCCTGCTGCAATATCGGTCAGCGGTCTGCTAGTCTCCAACCTCTTCGCGGTATGGGTATAATCAAATACTTTTCGCGTCAATTATGATCAGTCAGAATTTTCCTCGAGTGTCGTTTCGTACTAGTATCCTAACCGTCAGGCATGTTCTTGCTGCCTTTTCTTCGTTTGATTTTCATTGACCTTGTATGTCATTACTGTAAATTAATTCTTATGTATTTAGGACACCGCTGGTTATTTCATTCAATTTTGAGAATTTATCGGTGTGTTTGCTGCAGTCCCTAATTGCAACGTATCAATAGCGCAACTGAATACTTGATGACAAACACATTTTCAATCTTCAATTCTTAAAATAACAGCAGATAAATGGAGCCCGTTAGATAATACTTTTTCCATGCTACTTTAATTAATTCTAATTATGTTGATTTATCAGATTATTAATGGCATGCAATGATTAATAGTTTTATTTCTCAATCCATCAAAGCTCCCACATGTCACGCAACGTAATTGGTGGTGCGCGCGCTGCGTGACCTAAAGAAAGTGCGGCTGCTTAGGAGACTAGACCCAAACATTTATACACGATATAGCCCAAAAAGAATTCTGATTGGTCCATCTAACGATACTTAATTTACCATCAACGATATTCAACTGTAATAACTCGCCAAATGAAAGGTTTGGAGACAGGCACGAATTTCTTGACCAATGAAAACCTATGTAAACTGCACAAGTTTACAATTATTAACAAAATTATTCAATTCGCTGGATATATTAACACCCCCTTGAAAACTCGTTGCCCTTGCTGTCATAGAGATTAGTGTATTCAGTTCCATCTAAAGTTTGTGCAAACTAAGCGCATAGTAGCCAGAAACCGACTAAGTTATACTTTTCCGGGTAAACATTCAATACAGTGCTATCATTACAAGCCCTTGACCTGGAATTAATCAGTATTTAGAAAAATCCAACATTGAGAAAACCAAACGCATAGTGTGAGTCCAACATGATATAGTCTCGCAATCGAAATACAATTTTGGAACCTATAATTAAGCTCAAAACGTTTTTTTTTTAAGAACATTTCTTCATCATTAACTATTTTCCTGTTCTTTTCATTATTGAATCACACCTAACTAGGATTGGGTTCAGACTCATTTCCAGTCTTCAATAAGTTAAGCTACCGTGTCTTTTAAATTGAGGAGAGTTGAGGAGAGGAAAGCATATTCTCTCCTGATGGTCCTTCGTAAGAGATGTCGCAGTATTTTTACGCCTAGATATACCAGGAAGTTGACCTTCTGGGAGCTCCTTCCTTGACTGCCAGTTCAACTGGAAAACTATATCTTCGTCAAGCTTAACACACTGCGTGAAGTCCTCAACTCAGGGGTTTGCCTGCCTGGACTTCCACCGCCATTGTTGGAGCTTACTGTCGGGCCTCGGAGTCTGCCCGAGAGCGAACTTGTCAACGACGTGCTACGGCCTTTACGAAGACATATATAATCTATTTTAATCTTGATGGCCTTTCTGAATTTTTCTGCTCTGAAGGCGTAAAGAAGGGGATTAATAAGTGAATTAAAGCTGAAAAGGATGGTTGGTAGAACGCCCGTGAGGATTTCTCTACTTTGCGGCGACATCACCTCTTGAATGTTCGTCGTAAGCCACAGAAACGCGATGACGATAGGCACCAAGAAAAAGATCATGTTGCTAAGGACTAAAGCTCCGATTCTCCTTGCTAGGGTTCCGTCTCTTTTGATTCCAGCCTTTTTTTCCGTTTTCTTCACAGTTTTAAAAACTTTAATGTAGAAGGGTATGGTGATGAAATACAGGACTATTCCCCACAAGGAAAGTCCAATACTCAGCTCATACGAATGGGGAATGTCTTTGATCGGGCGAATAGGAATACAGAATGTATTGCCGTCATAGACAGAAATATTGACCAACGGCAAAACAGCGATGCTCACGCCCAAACACCATGTGATTAACACAAGGATGAACGCTATCTTCCGAGTGATTCGTAATGAGGGTTGCATACAGTACACAACTGCCAAATACCGCTCCACGGTGAGAATGAGCGACGTCTTGATGCTAACAATTGCGCTGGAGAGCCAAATAAACCCAAGGGCATTACAGAGATTCTTCATGAATAACATAAACTCTGTGTAGGGCTTCAGTCTTGTGCAGACCAAGATAAGTGTGTAGAGACTGACAAGGAAGTCGCTAAGAGCCATATTGCTCGTTAGACACATAGTCACATTCCTTCGTAATACTCTTGTTGTTAATGTCACTACGATCACTGTAAGATTCAGGATCATGGCAATTGGTGCGATTAGGAACTCGATACTTAAGATTTTGTTATCGATGTCCCAGCAACGGTGTAAAGGGGTGACGCGAATTTCATTGTCAAAACAAGCTTTTATCTCGAGGCATCGTGGAAAGAATCCATGTTTTGCATACCCCACAACCTCTTGGCTCGCCTCGAGTCTGTTTACGCGACAATGTCCCATGTTCCCAACCAGGTAATCTCCTTTTCGAAGTTCGGAAGTCTCTATATTAACCCCATTGTTTTTAAACTCGCCTTCCTTCAGAGTGTGGTTCTTCACCAAAGAGCAATTAGCACATGGGTCGTTCCAGGTCACTCCCTTAATTTCCTTGAGCATGCGCAATTTGAGCAGAAAGGTCGGAAGAACGAACTTGGAATTCCCAGATAAATCCAAGAGAATCAAAGACGGAAGACTGTTTGTGAAATTTCCCTCCCATTCTATCAGCTGGTTCCCAGAGAGTTCTCTGTTATCAAGAGAGATTGAACGTAAAAAAAAAATCACTTAAATTGTTCACCACTCTTGTTTGGGAAAAACAAAATATTGTCTTCGAATATTCAAACAAAAAATATATTTCCCACCACACACACACACACACACACACACACACACACACACACACACACACACACACACACACACACAACACGAATACCCGGTGTGACAGATCTCTGCAAGATACTGTCGCGAGATTACTCTAAAATGGCATTCTTTGATCAGCCTCACAAGTTGAACCAGTTAGATTTTAAGCGACTTCTTTCGGTAACAAAATTCTGTGACAGTGACGAAATTTTGATTTTCACTGAAAAATGACCATATCGCCCAATGATAACTTTGGTTGCGACCTATCCCTGAGTCGTAACACCGACTTATCGCGTGTTTTCCGTGACGTATTTTTTGCTGCTTTTGCCATAGTTTAATTTTTTACTAACTGCTAAACAGACAACAAGGAAATTTTACTTACAGACGCTGCAGATGATTGAGACCGGAGAATGCGCCACCTTTTATGGTGCGGATGCCGTTATTGGGTAAACTCCTGGAAATTTAATACAAAGTGACAGTGAAATCAGTTGGACTAAGTAATAACCTGATTGTAGTCAAACTCACGAATCTGATTGTTGAACACGCAGAAGCTACACGAATATCAGCAAGGTCTATCTAAAATTTCTTATCGCAAATAAGTTCAATGGAATTACAACGTGCAGGTGATCAGTGTGTGCACGTAATCGTGACTATGTGGATTTCGCGAGCGTGAGTATGATCGTGATTACATGCGTTATCGCGATTGCGTGCGTGACTGCGCACTTGATCGTGATCGCATACGAGAATGTGCATGTGCCTTTCAAGAATGGTTTTTAGTCACGAGGACGCGCACGTGATGTGTTTTAGGGCATTATCATGGTCGTGTGCACGACTGCGTGATCGTAAAATATAGCAGATAAACCTAAAAGAGTAGTTTTTTCAGCAACGACAAATGTCAAATAAAAAAAATGCACTTACAAATTGACAAGACTTGTGAAATTCCTGAAGGCTCCTTCAGGAATTGTTTCCAGGTCACTGGAGAAGATACTCCTGCAAAAATGCAAGCAGCAAAGTCATTAATTGGTGAATTAAGTGAAAGAAGTTTGACGCTTTCGCCTCAAAAGGAAAGATGCTTTCAGTTGTGATGCGGACGGCAGCTCAAAGTTGAGGATTCTTTTACCTAACGCTTGCTACAGATCTTTATTCTCTTAGCGTAAGATGCCAAAAAAAGATAGCTTTCCAATTTACTGGTTGATGTCAAAGTCCACCAGAAGAAGTTGCACTCTTCCTTTGGCCGCCGTGCGCGTCTCAAAATCGACTGTGCCGAGGTTCCATTATTAAAATGGCACGAAAAAAGCTAAACAACTTAAAATCAGGTTTCTAAGGTCACAGACAAAACGTTTGGTCTCAAAATGACAGGTGTTCAGACTCATATCCAATTAAGGAAAGAGTTTAATAAGGGCAATTTTTGGGTCTGTCCACGCATCTTATGTCAGAGCTGAAGGCGTATTTCTACCAAGCGAGCGCTTAATATTTTCTCGTGTAAAGCTTCCCACCGTTTTGATTTTTTAAGCAACGAACTGTTGAGACGATGAAAAAATTTTCTTTTAAAAGGATGGGCGTTAGGAGAGAGGAAAGAAAACGGAAGGGCAGGGCAAGAGACAACAGTCCTCGTCTTTGATCGATCCATCTTCCTGTTACCATTCTTAGCCTAAATCAAACACAACAGTATCCTGGACGACCGCGAGCTTGCGGCGCTGACTCGTTCTGCATTACGGGCTATCCATGCTCCATGTTTAAATCTTTGTTCAATAAAAGTACATGGTCGTCGTTGCTAACTGGATTGGTTTAGTTATTTAAGTTAGCGATTTCAAAAACACGTATCTTGACAACAGAAAGGCTCGCGGTGAATCTGATACTACAGCAGACGTCATACGAATGTTAAATGTTATCCACGCTTTTAATTTTGACATTTTTTCGAAGACTTCCTATCTACAAACCAAACAAACCATGAATAGATTTTCCGCTCCAAGCACAATTTTTATAATTCTTCTTTTTCCACCGGCACGTTTTCTTTCAAAACTTTAGATAGTTTTTCCTAGGTAGTGTAGATGAAATTGAGAAAGAGACTGGTTTCAGTTCACCTCACGAATCCTCGTACATTCCAATTTTGAACAAACCAAACTTGTCAAGAAAAAAAAGAAGGCACGCAAGAACATAATTTACTTTTTCAGGGAAAAAATTCTTCTCGAATATGTTTTTTTCCGAAACGTGTCCTGAGAAGTTTTCTCTGCTTAAATGTCTCCTTCAAAGAATTTTCTTTCACAACGAGTTTGTCAAGGAAATCTTTCTGATGGCGATGTAGCGTTATAGTTTTATGTCTTATCGAAAGTCATCTGAAATAGCTCCTCTGTTGACTCTGGACTTTCAAGAAAATATTTTATTTCTTTCCTCATTCTTGGAAACCGTACTTGATACAATTCCTTATCATTTTGGAGAGTTTGTGAATTTGGTATGAATAAAATCATATTCCTTTGTCGACAATTATATTTCCTTTCTCCTCTTGAAAATGCATTGATATTGTAAGGAGCATATTACGGTTGTTATGGATGATTAATTGCCACTATTTTCTGACCTTGAACCGACAAAAATTTCGAGAAAAGGTTTACAATCAGAATTGTTATGGGGTAGCATAAGCAAGCATCTTAGATCTCAGTCCAAGAAAAATTTGGGAAAACTGGCAGATTTCTCAAAGAGAGATGGTAAACACTTGTCAGAGCGTAACAAGAAAATCTTGAGAAACTTTGCAAGGTATTAAAAAAGACAGACAATTTCAACATGAAATAAACACTCTGAATTTCTAGTAATAAAGTTTCGATAAGCATATATCAGTCTACTAGATTTCTAAAAGAAAGATGGTAAACATTTTTCGACAATGAGACATGAAAAGTCCTTGTGAGGGGCAAAACACAACAAAATAAACAGAAAATAAAAAGAAAAAAGAAACACGCAATTTCCGATTTGGGGGTTGAATAGTCAATACCCCCAGCGCAACAGCTTTTGAGTATAAAGCACGAAAAAAAAAAAAAAAAGGCTACTCACAAAGATTTCACATCATTTGGGTTATGCAAAATCGTCGACAGCTCTTCCACACTTTCAATAGTACATCTCGCGTGCAATCCACTTTCGCCGTAGATCTTCGTGCACGAACTGTTCCTACTTGTAGCAGCTTCGCAGAGGAAAGAAGCTTGGAAAAAAATCATAGCAAGAACAAGCCAGGGATCCATCTGTGGAGAAGTATTGAAAAGTGGGGTCAGGTAATCGTTTAAAGCAGATATTGTATGATCCTTACAGCGGATTTCGACATTTACCCACAAATTTATAAACGGCAATAGCCAGAAGTGTCAAGTGGTTATATTAAAAGCGTGTCAACCGCTGTAAAGGACAGGAAATTATACAGATAAAATCTGTTTGAAGTATTTTGAAAGGTTTACCTGCGGCTGGGATAATTCTCGCTTCATATGTTGTATCACCCATCAAGTACTAACATACTGGTAGCTTGGTCATGCTGACACGAGCTGAAATATTGCACTTAGCTGATCTCGTTTCAAAAATTGATTAGTGAACGTGTCAGTGTACCCAAAGACAACTATTTACCACACAACGTGATCGAAAAACGGGTTGCAAAGTGAGATCCAATTTGTATCCATCCAATTAGGTTAATTCTAAAAGGTTTTTAATATAACCTGTCAATCAGGAATACAACCTCATTTGTGTTTCATTGGCTAGAAACATAAGAAGTTTGAAATTTTGTTGGTTTTAAATGGCTTTCATTTACATTCACTCGGTTCCATTATTTTTCTACGAAGCTATGATAACTAAAAACCTTTTTAATTAACGTCTGACTGCTCAAGATAATATTTACTGTACACAGTAAATACCTCTGGAAAATATTCTTCTGGGGAGAATCAAGAATTGACTGAAAAATTTTCTTAATCGAATTATGTACTCAGTGTGCCTGATCAGTTACGGTTTCTCCCCTAAGCTTTTCATGAAGCGACACAGAGAAGAAAGGAAATGATCAATATTTACTCTGGCAGCTTAGTAACTACGTTCTACTCCGATATTTGTTTGTACAGGATGAGAGGTTTTTCAAGCGTCTGTGACAACTGTTATGACAAAGTGCTAATATCTTACTAAGTCAGTCAAGTGCATGAGATATTTTAAGTTGATTTAAAGCTCAAAATATATGAAATCTCCGGGGCAATAAATGCTTTTTAATCTTTCATACTATAAACAAACTCTTACAAACTGTAAAATATCAATTAAAAAATTACGCAAAGAGAATTTTCCAGGAAAAAAAACGTTCCGTTTGCGCATGCACCCTACAACAGCGTTAATAATATACATGAAAAAAATTACTCATTTCTGATTGGTTAAGATAAATGCAGTTTTCAGGTAATTCAGTGCAGAAGGGGGTTAATTCAGTGCAAAGAAGTATAACAAACCAGACATTCTGATTGGTCAATAATCAAAGAAACTCACAGATAGCCAGTCAAGTGCGAGCCTTAGATGTCGCAACATTTGGATGCGCTGAAAATTTGCGTGCAAAACAATGGCCGGCGTATTAAGGAGGTTTTCTTTCGCCACCGCAACAACCATACAGCAGCTGAGAAACAGCTCTAGCAACGAAAACACTGTAAAAAAACATTGTTTATGGTTGTCAGTTTGGAAAAAGTGGTGTTTAAAGAAGGGAATTGCCAAGGAAATCGGAAAATACGAGCCGATCCATCTAAACACTTAACTCGAGCGATTCTACGCCGAAACTAAAAACAAACATGGTTAAACCTAGCAAACAACGATTCCATTTCATCGAAAGTGACTCGGACACAGACTGAACAATTCCTTGAACTGTTTAGCCGGACTTTGAACTTTTTTGCGCCTTAAAGATGTGAAAATATTATTGTTTTGATCTTACGCGGTTGTTTTGACCGAGCGGACAAAGTCACTTGCAGGGTTTGAATAAATTGTTTTTGCACTTGATGCGCGCGCTTCGGTTCTGCATAATTGTGACAAGCTATCTCGTATTTCTTCATGTTTATTAGTGATGTGTAATCACCTGATTTTTCTCGTGCGATTTGGAAGAAATAAGCACTTGTTAATTTTTTCAAAGACCAAAAATTGCTCTCGCCCTACGGGCTCATGCAATTTTGTTTGTCTTTGAAAAAATTTACTCGTGCTTATTTATTCCAAATTGCACGAGAAAAATCATGTGATTACCTAGACAAACAGGTGACGAGATGCATATTTACTTGATCAAACGTCATCTTCTCTCAACCAATTGACAAGCAAATGCAAAGCTGATAGTGGGAAGAATTAAATATTTAATCACATTTAGTGTCGGTCGTTTTCTTACCAAACAATTACTGAACGCATTAAGGATCCCCAAATTCTATGTATTTAAAAAGGCTGTTGGTACTGTTGTTTCTAAGGGAATCTTGTTCTCGAGCTAAACAATGTGCGTGCTTAAAATAACAAGTTCAGATTATGCCCGCGATGCCTTAAAAATCAAAGACGTTGAAAATTTGTTACATGAGTGGACCAAAGAAATAATATCGAGTACCGATCTTTGGCGAACATCCGAACATCTGAAATCCATAAACAACGTTCAGTTCGAATAAATTTGCAATAGTCTGTATTAATAGTTTCCTAGTTCTTCCTCTCCAAATATTGCTCAAACCCAACAGTGAGTAAATAGAACTCGGTTGGTGTCAAATTTATCGTAGTCCTGGAAAAAAATCTTAAAATCTTAGTTACAAGCACTTACGTTTCCAAAGCGTGTAATTAATTACAGATTGATCTCTTCACATGTGGGAAAACACACGTAAACATTAAAGGCATACAATTGAAAACGTACATTGATAATAAACTTTTATTTAAAAGCCGTCGTTGCGGCGCCTAAAAGCATATTTAAGACCTGTAAATTACAAAATGAGCCTGTTCCGTGAGTCTATTCGGTAACAGATCACATATGACGTCAAAACATGGCTAAAAATAACAGCGAAACCGTAAACAGGAACTCGAGACAGAACAAAATAAAGAAAGCTGAAACGGTCAGAACAATAAATTACAAGATAAAATTTACAATATAAAACAATATAATGGGATAAACCACGAAACAGGAAGAAGCAGTGAGGTTCGAAAGCGAAACTCTGAAACAATGAACCCATGACAAATCTAGGGTTCGTAAAATCGAAATTCGAAATAGCATAATCCAGGTACAGAAACAATTTAAGTCGAAACAGGAAGTCGCGATACTTCAAGACCTACGTTTGAGTCGTAACACCGATAAAATCAGGACATCGAATCACCGGAAATGAAAAGCCAGGTGCATTGGGAATTGAAAGGGAATACCCCCATAAAATAGAACGCCACTAAAATAGGAACCGAAACACCCCAAAACTCGAGAACGAAACACAGAAAGAACTACATTAGAAGACATGAATAAAGAATCAAGACGTCAATTACACAGGAAAAGGAATATTTATCACTGAAACAGTGTTAAAAAAAGGAAAAAAGACAAAAGTAGAAAGGAAGTTACGTCACAATATTCGAAAACATTTCCTACGTTGTCTCTGGGTATTATGATAATCTGTTCAAATAATAACTAACTGGGAAGAAAAAATGATGATTGATGAAAGCAACTGAATGAGATGATACTACGGGTAAAACACAGACAAATAATTACCAAACTTGCCTTTAACTACATTTGAGAAACAAAACACTGGCTTTGTAAAGACATTTTAATTACCAAGATACGCATGACTAATATTGTTGTGCCTCGAAGTTTAGCTTCCAAATTCTTTGTTTTTTTCGAGGATACAACACTGTCAGAGAATTTTCATGAAACAGATAGATGATAATGTACATTTGAGGTTTTTGTATCTTTACCATCAATCGTTGTTTTCTTCGTAAACGAAACTTAATTCTGAGTGTGCCGGCGTGAAGGTTGTTGTCTACTCAGCACGCCCGCTCTGATAGAATTTCTCTATTAAATCTTGTAACGTCCCAAGTACCGAAGCAGTAGGTTCAAAATTTCCTTGATAAATCAAAGACGTGCAAAATGAAATACTCAATGAGTGTTTCAGCGCTATAATTTAAGAAGACAGGGCCACCTTTAAACTCATCTTTACAACACTATAATACTCATGTCACTGATTATAAAGAAAACTTGTAAGCAATACATCATTTACAACGATTGTCTCAGCAACACTTAAAACAGCTGTGCAGGTTAAATTACTGAATCGTAAAATAAAAAAAATTATTGAATCGTAACTAACACACATCAGGCATCAAAGAAAACAGCCTGTGTAACAAAGACTATACAAAGATGTTGTTCATTTATCTCCTAAATTAGAATCATACCTCTTTTAACTTCACCAGCAACTAGATCGTACCAGCTTCAACGCACTTTGTTAAGAAGGAACAAGGACTGCAGTTACAAGTATAAATGACATCCATAATCCCTTAAAGGGGAATTTAAGTTACATCATGTCCGATTGAACTAAATATTAAAATGCATAGTCTAGCGATTGACGCAAGAGCGCCTAACACATTCATATAAACACGTGTATATGTTTAAGTAAATCACTGAAGCAGAACCTCAAAAAAAAGCCAACAGCTATAACTGCCACGGTAGTATCTTTCTAAATATAAAATGTTCAGAACTCGCTATTTTTAAACTAACTTTCGGTACAACTTGTAAAACGGTTTTTTCTTTCCCGTTTTCCATTTTGACTAGTGTCAAGGTTTTCGGGCCAATCTTGTTCCCATGAAAATCAAAAGTGTCGCTTTTCAGTTACACCAAAATCCCTCCCTGCGTTCAGACAAAATTATACAAATGAGCACTACAGTGATTTATTTGAAACACAATTTCCTGAAATTGAAAAGAGGTCAGGACTGATCTTGAAGACGGGACGGAAACTATTGAAATTTAAGAATGCAATTTGCGATAAAAAATCAGCGAAACTCGAGCTAAAAAAATACGTAGCTTTCATTGGACTGGTCAGTGAAAAAGGTAGGTTAAGTATTTATCTTGAGGTTGGAACAACTTTTTATTTCTTAATTTTTTGGTTTTTTTTTTCCTGAATAAAAGAACATCTCTTAACCCTATTAAAGAACTTGTTCCGCATCTCCTTCAAGGTGACTTTGATATAATGTTAGATTCAAGACAAAACTAGCCTTTTTCAGAACATGCTCCGCTACACCAGAAAACATAGGCACGCACCGCATCTAAATTATATGTAATTGTCGCTTGCAACGACAGCTTTTCAAAATTCGCAGCGGCGGGTTACTTTTTCATCAATTTCTCGTTGAAAGTCAACTAATAAATGTTATACTTGCCTCAGTACAACAGTTTCTTTAGAAGATAATGAATTCACAAAATTCGAAGCACTTTGAGCGAGGAAGGACACCTTCTATAGTTGGCAATGTCACAAACACGATAAAGCAAACAACATCGAATGTGTCTAAGTGAACTCCATAATTCTCACAATTAACACTGATGAAGCTTTCTGGAAACTGCAATTACGTCAAATTAACAAAGAGAATCCATTTGCAGTGCGTCTGTTCATTAATAAATCACCTTTTGAGGTCAAAACGAGGTAAAGACAACAGCGTGACACAAGAGTGTCAGCCAAGTGCATCATTAACGTTTTTACTTCATTTTGACATCTGCGATCTTTATCTGAACAGAGACCCACGACAACATGCAATCTGTTTTATCTAATAACGAAGCAAAAAACTGTTTGTTTAATGGTGACATCGCCTATGCATCTGTCCACTACCAACAGATCGTAAGAAAGAAACAATCAAACTTCGTGAGTAATTCAGCTTAATATATAGCCTACGTGTAAACCTACCCTCCCCCCTAAGGTGAAACGGAACCGAGGGAGCCCTCCCTCGCCTCCATTTCACCTTGGAGGGGAGAGGGTAAGGCGACATGTAGGCTACTTAATATATAGATAGCTTACATACTACCCAACATTGCTTAACGAAACCTTTCATATGGCGAACTTGTTTTAGAATTTGGAAAACAGAGTATGAGTTTAGAAAAAAAAATTGCTAATTCAGCTATGATCTTTCCAGTTGAATTTCCAAGTTGTTATTTCAATAGCTCGGCGAGTGAATCCCGACTGAGGTGAGAGTAACGAAGGATTAACGATCATTTAGCGACTCTGTTCTGCTGAGTTGGTAGACTAATCCATCACACGGCTATCCATCTCTAACTTTTCACAAGGTTCAGTAGGTGAGCATTTTTTTACTTCTAATCCAACTTAAGCCCCTATTTTGCGATTCTATCAAAAACAAGCAATTATTTGCAATTTTTGCTAAAAATTTAGGTTTAGAGCATACATCAAGCACGAAAAAGTCAACGATTTCACAATTAAATTCAGTTTATGCAAATTTTTTGGATGTTTATCATCCTGTTAAAATCATGACCTGTCGCACGTTACGTTCGGTAGGACACAAAATAAACCGTTGAGTGTCTTGTTCCATTAGACTTAAGTGTGTCCTTAAATTCCGCCCATACTTGCCAGTTACCCCTCTAAGCTAACTTATAAGTTATTATTCTTGACTGATGTTAGCAATAGTTGTAAAGATCGAAAATAAAACTTTTAATTAACAATCATATAAGTATCAAGAAATTTAGCTTGTAACCTTTGAAATTTCGGGTAGCAAATATTTGGATTTTTGGCATTTTCAAACAACTTTATATTATTTCAGTGCGCAACTTTCCAGCATTTTACGAGCCCAATCGTTACAGACTGAAAGGGTTCTTCCCCGTAAAAGGCTTGTGGGGATGTGTCGCTGGATGGGCTCGCAGTTTCACGACTGGATTGACTCTTATGAGGTTGCATTTTCAATAGAGTTACTAGAATGGGGTCGCACATTTTCGGGATTTCGGAGATAAGAAAACTCGGGCAAGTGGGATTTAAACATTGGAAGATTCGCGATTAAAAGGCGTTACCGTTGGGATCGGAAAAATTACATTCGCCCTAAGATGGAGTCTATAATGGGTCCCAGAATAGACCATAGTGGGGTAGGGGTTCTGAGAGGCCAACGGCACAAAGTCAAAATTGATTCAATAACCCCCCCCCCCCGGGGACCATGGCAAAGTCCAACATCAAATTTGTCGCCCACAACGTTTTACACACGATCAGACGACAGTTCACATGCAGGTCACGCTACTATATTTCTTTGCTTCGTTTTCTGCAACGAAAAAAAAATATTACGAGAAGCCTATATTTTTCTCCTCCTATCCTTTTCCGTTTCTAACTGACAGCATCTATAAATATCGCAATCCACGGCACAGTGCGCTTTTGAAATAACGCGAGAATCAGCTGGCAACCATTCACGAGCTGATATAATTAATGTGCAAATTTTCATTTGAGATAAATAAATAAAGATGAGAGACATGGTTTATTTCTCATCTTTCGGTATTCGTAGATTTCTATTTAGTTTATCTTCATGAAGGTTTATAAAGAATTTTCCTCGATTTTTCTTGGGAAGAAATATGTTTTTTCCACTAGCCTATTCTCCACACTTGTCTGAAATGGCCCGCCTCGGCTGCGTTCTTGCGCGGCAGCTTTTCGTTGCTGTGCTTACGATGTAAAACTAATTAACTCTTTTATAAAAGCGATCCTTCTTGAACTGTCCAGGTGCTTGTTAAAATCGACCAAATTTTTCTATGCAAGGGTAATCTGTTTTACTTTAGAATTCGTAATCGTGTCGCCTGCGAATTTATTTCATAAAATCCCAAAATCCGGAGTCCAAGGTCTTGTACGTGATTGTGTAATGATTCTGAAAATTTTGAAATTTATCGGTATACGTCTAATCCTGTCTTTTGCAAGGAGAATAAACAAATTGGTAATAAGGTATATGGCATCACTCAAAGCGCAATCAATATGCTAATCTGAACTGCCGTAATTTCACAGTTTCAAAGTTACGAAATGCGCTAATTTTACAATGCAATTAGTGATCTCCTCTTTCATACGGTCGGACTCTTACAGCATACAGCTTTTTAGCAGGATTCCAGCTCTTGATGTATCTTGTAAAACTTGAGAAGATTTTTAAGAAAGCTTTTAAATAACTTAAGCATGGTTTCACATCTGTTCCAGTAAACGTGTAAATGCAATTACACCCATAGTCCATGAAAATATAAAAAACAGCACCGTTCATTTGACTGTTTAATTTACTTTATTCATACGCGATTTATCATTAACTCCATTTCAATTTGACTCAAAGGAATTTGCTACTAGCTTCGATCGACCTCTTAAAACATAAAGCCCACCAAAGTTTAAGGAAACTATTCAATAACAGGATTATTTTATTAGAAAATAAAACGTAGGAAGGAAATATATAGGTCAAGAAAAACAAAGGAGAGCGATCACATGTAAAGCTGGAGAATAGAGCGCAAATTACTTACCTAACCCAACAATTCCGTTCCACTTAGCTTCGTGTTGTCTTCGTTCTTTAATTTTTGTTGCAAGAAAACGCTAAAGTTTGATTGCACGTCAAATACGGAGGAGGCAAATTTGCAGCGACTTCCTGTGAAGATTCCCGTGCAGATCAACGCGACTGATTGCGTTACTAAGTTAGAATAATGTTTTGTATCTATTTGCATAACACGCATGTTCAACAGACCGAACACAATTAGCTCAGATTACGAAGAATGTCTCTACGTGATGATAAACAAGATAAGTGAGGTGAGATCCTTATTTTTAATAGATAAGGTAACTTTGCTATGTCGCACTCAGGAAACCTCCCTAGAATAACATTCTCAACGTTTCGGACGACGTATTGGTGTTATTTTGAGACAGCGATGGGCTTGCTTTCAGTCTCCGCTCTTCCGTTCCTCCTCTACGAAAGACGAGCCCGGGCTCAATTTCCAAACAGCGGCTATCTTAAGAGGGCTGGCAAGCGGACAACTAAATTATTCCTAAGAGGTTGTTTACACGAAAGAATAATCCGGCGAACCAGGGCCAACCAAGAGAGGAGTACAGACGCATAATTTCTCATAAGTATAAGCTACGCGTACCAAGTTGTTCAAAGGCCTTTTACAACTGTTTCACTCCCAACTCGACAAACTTAAATTATGCATCTTTGAAAGGTCACAAATTATTTTAGAAATCTGGCCTAACCTGTGCTACAACCTTGTTCCCAGGGTCCTCTCTCCTCTTCCCATGCAACAGGAAGAAGAGAGAGGACCCTGGGAACGAGGTTGTCCGTTTCGCTCTTACAAAGGGCTAACCGGCTCGAAATGTCAGCTTTGAAACGCTCTACGGTAGCCAATTTGCGTCATCAACTCAACTGATAATACTAAATTATCCTGTCTGTACTAAAGCAGGAGCCCAAATGATGGGCTCCTGACTAGAGGTAACAACCCTTAATCAGCTATGGCTCCTTTCATGAAGAAAAAATTGAATTGATTTATCAAAATTGTCCGACCTGCTCAGTCAAATTCAAAAGGATATAAAACATTCTTATGGAATCGCACCAAATTTCAACAAAACTCAGAAGTTCTGACAGAAAGATATAATAATTTTTTTAAGTAACTAATCTGGTTATTGCATTCCAACATATAGCTTTTTTGTGATGAAGGGGGAGAGGCAGGTACTTTTATTTGTTTATTTTTTTACGAGAAAACCATATATTATTTGATAAATCTGTTTGATCAAGTGGCATCCTGCGGTTCGACTGAATGTGCCCAAAACAGAAAACTTCTCACCGTAAAACAATCAAGAATTACAGGCACCTTAACGATAAAATTTTCATCGAGGTAAGCAACGGTTACTAATTTCAAAACTGAACAATAACAGGTACCAGGTGTTTTTGTGACAACTCAGTATACATATCGCCTAGGAGTTGGGGTGGGTAGGATATCTGGGGAGGATCACATGGTTTTCAGGAGGAACTAAGGGGGGATCAGTCGTCGCTGACAGAGTATAAAGTGGGGGGGGGGGAATATTGACCGCAAATTAACTGCCAACAAAGAGAATGATTGGAACACTTCAGAGTCTCAGGGTGGATCAGGTACATTTTCTCGAGACGCAACGAAAATCCCGACCCCTCCCCCCTCCCCCCCCACCCCGTGATTAACGGTGGCTGATACTTTTGATATGTGCCACCGTTATATTTGTAAATTGTAAATTTTGCTCGGACCCCCAAGATGCTTATGCACCTATTGTTTCCTACCCAAAAAAGAATTCTATGGATAATTTGTGTTTCTACGTGTTTGGTGTAATCACCTTTTTTAATATGGAGATGTTGTTTATAGCATCACAGGATATTCTCAGCGGCCGGAATCTTCCCACAGCTACAATATTAGTCTGTTACGTAACACCCTTGATGATCACGAAAATTTTCGCGCCGTGGTTTGTTCAAAGGATTTCGTACTTAGTAAAAGTTTCTTTCATCGCTCTTTGGATGATGCTTGGAATGGCTCTGATCGTTTTCGTGGAAGATATTAGAGTTAAACTTGTGGGAATCACTTTAAATGCGATGGCGGCTGGCATGTCTGAAGTAATATTCCTTGCTTTGACTTCGTTTTATCCTCAGATTGCCATTAGCTCGTTCCTTGCTGGCACTGGTTCGGCTTCTCTGATCTCTCAACTCTATTACACAAGTAAGTAAAATATTCTCAGTCTTTTGTTTACAGCAGCAAAGATTTTTAGGAACTCATCATACAGTACTTTTGAAAATTAAGGGACCGATCATTTTTTACCGCTTTGAAAAGAGGGGTTGAGGATTTTGGGGATATCACATAGTTTTTATGGGGAACGGAGTGGGGCTCAGTCGTGACCAACAGAGTATTAAGAAAGGACTGCAGAAAATTGACAGCCACTTAACTGCAAATGAGGGGGTATCATATTTCAGAGCAGGTATACAATATCGTGACACAAACAAAATCCTCCGATTCTCTCCGCTCCACATTAAAAGTATCAGGAAGGAAAGAAAGACTCTACTAGTTTTTTAGTTGATACCCACACCAATATTTCAAACTTGACTTCGAGCCCGTATACGTTATTTTAACGTACGTGATTTTCGAGAAACTGGTACCAGGATCGCAAACTAATTCAATTTAAAACCTTTTAAACCTTAATCTTCACGGCTTCCGGCAAACAAACGTTCGGTCACGAGGGGAAGAAAGAGAAACAAAGGAAATCTTGCCCCAGTCCGGGCCGAGTCTCTTCTTTATTCCTGTCACCTCCACGCTCTTTCCCCCTTCCTTTCCTCTCTCCGTTCAATTAATCGACCAAAAGCTGGAACAGTCTGCCGTTGTCCAAGGGAATCGTATTTGTTTACCACGTGAATTACTGCTGCGTGCAGTAGAAATAACCATGATTCAAAAGAAAAGAATAAAAAAAAACATGTTAACCCTTTCACTCCCAAGACCTCATTACAAATTCTCCTAAATGACCGCCATACAATCGTAATGATTTTAGTTCTGAGAATTTGTTATTGGAGGAACTAATAATCCCCTAATTGATATTTCTCTTTGTTCTCATCACGGGTCTGCTTGATATTGTATGGATATAATGAGGAGAAATTCTGTCTTCGTCACTTATTTCCTTCAGGTGTTACAACGTGGAGTTGTGCGGAGTCTCCTAAGACCGCCATAATGATAGTGATCCCGTTGCCCTTGTCAATCTTAGTGTCTTACGCAATGCTGGACAAGGGAGACATCTCGAACGGAGAAGGCCTGGGTACCAAGGTGGTGAATACCATGGATGAAGTCTTGATTCCTTCCCAAAGACTATCTTATGGCGAAAAATTTAGGATTGGTCGAAAAATTATTTGTTTTATCATTCCTCTATTTTTTAGTTTTTTTGCAGAGTATCTGGCTAATTCTTCAGTGATTACTACGATCGCCTTTCCTAATTCTCAAGTTCTTCCGCGAGATCACTTTCTGTATTACTCGCTCTCTTACTGCACTGGCAAGTTTCTGGGAAGGAGCTATTTGCTTTTATTCGCTTGGCTATCAAAAGACCTCACGGAGTTTTTATTCTGTGACAGAACGTGGATTTTCGCCGTATTGGAAATAGCACAACTGATTTTCTTCTTGTTCCAATCATGGTACCATTTTGTCTCGTTTATTTGGATAATAGTCTGTCTTTGTTTTACTCTCGGTTTAGTTTCCGGTATGATTTATTTGCACTCGCCTCATGCCGTCGCGCGGCACGTTGAGCCCGAGGAGAAAGAGTTTGCCCTGGGACTGATAACTGTTGGTAACTCCGTGGGTGCATTTGTTGGTGGATTGGTGGGGTTGATTGTGGAATCATATCTCGTGGAGAATTGCGTTGCGCAGTTCTCAAACAGCAAAGAGTTCTGTTTCACCAGGCATAAGAATACTTCCGGTTGGGAAAGTAATATTCACTGTTCTCAGTAAAAACGTTAGCCATAAATCGTTAAAAGAGAGACGGATTTCCTTCGTCGTGGTTTGTAAGGCTTTTTAGCGATAATAGAGACCAGTAAATATTTATCGCCCGTGAGGGAAGGGATGGGGGATTTTTGGCAACATGATTGTTGGAAGAAGTCAGTAGAATTTCTGTCCGAGGTTAGAATGACGTTAGATGTATTACTGGAAAGCGCTTAACGATCTCATTTGGTCTTTCTGTGTTTTATGTCACTCTGTTTTTACACATCTATCGTAAAATCATGGTGGTAGAACACGGATTCTTTTTTGAGACTCTCACAAAGTTATACTAGTTGATGGAATAGAAAAAAACCATCCTTTAATTTTCTGAGTGGATCATAAAAGAGCATGATCGCTCTATGAGAGGGGTGATCGTGTATCAACCTCCAAATTCATCGCTACATAACATTTTGTTTCCTTATAAGAAGTAATTACTTCTTATGTTTTCACTGTTCAGTGTCCTATCAGTTTTCTACGATCAGTTTTATCACGCAGGCAATCTTTTCAAGTGAAACAGGAACAGCTGATGTCCAAGGACAAATCTACGGGGATATTTTCGCGCTAACTGGAGGTTATTGTGTTAATTATCCTTCAAATATTTTTACAACCTGCAAGATGAACAGATAAACTTTTCCCTTCTTCTGTAATAATGGCTAAAAGCTTTTTTTATCTTGAATTAGATTTTAAACGAGCACTTTTATCCTCGTAGACGTATATAAGATTTGAAATTTGGGAATATCACTTGAGGTATATCCTTGGATATTTCCCAGGTTTAGCTGAGGCATATTCGATTACCTGATGTTTTTAGACCGATGGCGCGCGAGCAAACACATTTGATGGATTGTAGGCTAAAATTATTTACCAAAGTGGAGGTAAATATTAGTTGTTATTCACTTCCGAACAAGCCAATCAGCGTGCGCGAAATGCACTATTCACGTAGCTTGTGAGGTATGTCTAGCATTAAATTCTATTGATATTCCTTGAACGTATTTATTATTTTGAAAATATCCACCCCTTCCGTATTTAAGAGAAAAAATTGGAGTATGAAAGAGGGAGCTAGAGCTAGGTAACAGCTTCTTGGCAAGAGCCAGCTGTCACCCAAAGGAAAATTCTTAAGGGATTTAATAGGTCATACACTAAACGTTCTGCAGAGTTTCCGTTCCATTCAAATTATTTTTGAATGATTTTTAAGCGCATTGAGCTATAATTTAAATCTGAATTGTTAGATGTCAACTACTTCTTTAGAAAATCATCCGTGCAGTCGTCAAAAATTAATACATTTTGAAAAATGACATGAAGCTGAGAACACTTGAATCGCGAAATCGAAATCCCTTTTTTTTATTACGCCCAGTGAAATCGTGAAATAAAACCCCTTGAAATATACCGTCTTGCCAAAATCGCGAAACTAACCACCAGCCAAATTAATGTAAGTTTCGATAAGGTGTATCATGTTTTACATGCCGCTTTCTACGCAACACTAACAACGCCTTACAGAGCTGTTTCTTGCTTGTCTTATTTGATTGGTATATCTTGTCCGTGTTCAAGTCAACCGTTCATCGCCTTAGTTTGCTCCTCTTTCACCCACTACAGGCGGTTGTCGGTCAAAAGCACTCTCCCCAATTTTTCCAGAGCTACAGAATATTCGCCTTTCAATTTCTTTAGCTTCTGAAATTGTTTTTCGTAGCAACAACTGCAAGAAAACTACGCGAAAAAATCTCTCCCTAACAACGTAAATTAGAGGATTAAACAAGGAATTCAGTACCGGTAACAGGGAAGAGATAGAAAATATTACATATCTCTTTTCTGCGGAGATTTTGTCCACATAAGCATTTATAATAGCTATACAAATATATCCTGGAATAAAAGACAGTAACATTACGAGTATTAGTATAAGTGTGGTAGAGAAGGCTTTCGTATACCCAATAAGCTGTTTTTTCGCGTCGGTGGTTGCACTGGTAACCACAATTTGCCTTTTGCGGCGGCGAACTTGTATATACACAGAAATGTTGAAGTAGAATATCGTAGGTATAACGATAAATAATATTATAAATACCGCTAACGTTGCCAGAAACGGTTTGCTCAGTGTCTTCCTAAGATAATCGGTGGGAAGAATGATAGCCGCGATCCAGGCAACTCCCGACGCAAGGAGGATACGAGTCTCAGTGACCATGTTTGAATACCGAAGGGGATAATGTATACCGATGTAGCGCTCTGCGCTGATAAGGAACAAATGAAAAACCGATGCTAACACACATCGAATGCTGACGACCAGTACCACGTCAACTAGCGTGCAAAACTGGCTGTTATGAGCTTCACCTTTGATCATTAAGATGTACCTGGCAATTTGCAGTGGCTGAACAATGAGTCCAACCAGAACATCAGTTGTGGCCAGACAGGCAAGAGTTATGTTGGATTTGGTGCGAAGCCGTTGCTTGGTTTTCACCGATATTATCACCATAATATTCAAGAAAATGATCAAAGGACATGTGGTGGCGTTAATCGCAGTCCTGATTATAAAAACAATATAAACAGCCCGTGAGTTTTCTGCAGCATCTGGAGAAATGAAGGGAAGTCCACAGTTTAGTAACGACTTGTTGGCGATGACTCTGTTCATTTTGACGCAGTAGCTTTGCTTCTCAGTAAGATTAGTTCTGTTTTTTTTTCTTCTTCTCTGTGCTGTTTATTGATTAGAGTTTCACGGACTCTTCTGCTGATTATTTCCTGGGTTTCAAAGCGGAAGGACTATTCACCTGCTTGATGCTAGTCCGCAAATTGAAAAAAAAAACGCAAATTCCAGACACTCTGTCTAACGTAGCTACGAGAAAATGATGAAATGGTAGAAAATATCATCGCAAGGTACAGAGTATCCATTGAATATGATCTTCATTATCAGGATTGTAGTAAAAAAAGAGGGAGCTAGTTAGTAACCGAGGACAGCTGTTTCTGTCTCATTAAGGGTCGATTCACGTAAGGGAGTGCGGGAGAGGAACGCGGGCTCATATTCCCGAACAGCGGTTAGTAATCGAACCTATGTTTCATTACGCCTCGTCTAAATGGCTCAGCCAGCAATATGACTCATGGATTGTGGGAAGTTGCCATAACGACGTGATGATTACATTGTCTAAGTGGTAAATTTAAACAACGTCAAAATTTCAAAATGGAGTTCGAAAGAGGGAAACAGGTTAACAGAGTCACAATCCGCGGATGCATATGTTGCGAAAATATCGTCCATTCATTTTCTCCTTTGAAACAACAACACATACAAGTGTACCCAACCTGTCAAATAGGCTTTTTATAATAAAAAAACAAATCAACTGTCCAAATAACCGTACAATTACATTGAAGAAATGTAAAATGGTTTCCGTGTTTACATAGTCTCCCAACCTCCCGCGTGTTTACATCAGGCTATGTAAACACGAAACCATTTAACATTTCTTTTATAAAATAACTAATGAAAAAGGAACGAAAACCGTCTTTACATACGCTCATGTAAAATGGTTTTATGGCCAATCAGAGCGCGCGTACTATTTGAATTATTTTATAAAAGATATTTGTACTCTACTAACGCGTTGTTTGTACTCTTCTTTGTGCAGCTGGATAATAATGACTAATATTGATAAAAACAATAATAATAATCAAGGGAAAAAAATAAGAAAGCGATCTTCGCTGTAATGAACACTACTTAGGCAGTAGTAAAAATAATGCCTGAAAAATTTAGACCTCTGCGACAGCGATGCAGTACCCTACCAACTGAGCTGACAAGCCAACTCGGAGCTGGTCATTTTGATGGTTCGTAATAAACTCGTTAAGTGATGAATAAATGACCGTAAATATATAGTAATAATGATGATAACAAAATAACGATGAACGATGATATCAAAAGCAATGACAGAATTGGTGTTGGAACAAAATTACTTTTACGATCTATCGCTATTGGCGAACGTGTAAGATTTTTTACAGAAAACTCTCACTTTACCCTTCCTTAATTATCACCATAAATCTCAGAATCCCCCCAAGCGCAGTTCAGGATTTATTAGAAGAGCCTCTGATAAGAAAAATCCCTGCGCGGGAGGGGACGCTTCCTAATGATAGGGTAATGGGGAATGTCGCTGGATGGGATCGCATTTTCACGACTGACTATTATCGAGTTGCATATTCACCACTGGATTGACTACTATGGGGTTGCATTTTCACGACTGGATTTACTATTATGGGGTTGCATTTTCACGACGGCATTGGCTATTATGGGATTGCATTTTCACGACGGCATTGGCTATTATGGGATTGCATTTTCACGACGGCATTGGCTATTATGGGATTGCATTTTCACGACGGCATTGGCTATTATGGGGTTGCATTTTCATGACTAAATTGATTATTACAGGGTTGCATTTTCACGACTGGATTGACTATTATGGGGTTGCATTTTCACGACGGCATTGGCTATTATGAGGTTGCATTTTCACGACGGCATTGGCAATTATGGGATTGAATTTTCACGACTTGATCGACCATTATAGGGTTGCATTTTCACGACTGGATTGGCTATTACGGGGTTGCATTTTCACGACTGAATTGACTATTATGGGGTTGCATTTTTAATAGTTTCAAGAATGGGACCCTTTTTTGGGGGATTTTAGGGGTAAGAAAATTCTAGTAAGTGGGGATTAAAAAATGAGAAGATTTGAGGCTAAAAAGTTGCTACCGTATGGCCAAAAGTGACTAAGATAGCCGGGGTCTGTAACTGGCCAAAGAATACACGACACAGGGCAGATATTCTTAAAGAGCAGCGGCACACACCCAGAAAAAATTGACCGAAATAATCCCCCCCTGGGAATTGATTTGTTTTCAGAATGTTATTTAGGTTCAGAATTACCACTGCTTGCTGATGAAAACTGCTATCAAGACTTCGATCTCTTAGTTTTAAAACTCCAAAGTTTCCCGAAATTCGTCCGCCATTGCTGATAAAGGGTCGGGCTAAAATTGCGTCTAACCCTTTAAACCCTAAGAGTGACCAGCATCTAATTTCTCCTAACAGGAATACCGTTGAATCATTTAGGAAGATCGTGAGAATAAAGGAAATGATCACCATCCTAAGAAGCTTTGATTGTTAAGCGAATTCTCCTTGCCAGGTATAAAGGAAATGTGTAGAGAAGAGTGAGGATAATATAGATACTGATGTTATTTGGTTTTAGTTTTACGGCACCGAGTCAATTGAACAGAGCTTAACATACTTGAATCGAATCAACACAAACTCCAATCTCAGTATTCGTTTCATAATTCGTTTATTCATGTTTCCTCGATGTATTTACTTCATACAAGTAATCAATTTAACTTAAATGAAAGAGAGATAGAATTTAGAGAGAAACTTGCTGTAATCAGGAGCCCATCAATTGGAGCCTCTATCTTCCAAGAGGGTATCTGCGGGGTTAACCGTCAACCGTAAAACTTTAAGAAATTAACCGTTAGCCGCTGTAAATGTCCAAATTTTTAACCGTTAGCTGTAAAAGCCATCACCCAATTGGGACCCTCTTCCAAACGAAGCCTTGGAGTCATTCCTCACCCGAGTAGGGAGGCCCTCAGGGGATCTCTCAGGTCCTAAGAACCAGTCACGACAGAGCTGTGACAATCCTACTGGTTTAGGTCAAACATACGTTCCCATGCACTGGTCAGCGAAATCAGTTCCTGAGACTCGCAGTTGACTAAACGGAAATATGATACATCTCGCTGGGAAAAGCTCAACTAAAACTAAATCTACTCGGGAAAGGGTTGACTGGAAGAATCAGTGGAGATAAAGGATCCCGTTGATGGACTCCTGTGCAGAATTGCCTCCTGAAAACATCTTTGTGGTCAAAAGTGATATTTCACACTTTTAAAACGCATTTTTCAAAGTCACCCAGAAATACGCTGGGCGACGTCAAGATACAGGAAGAACTTTTAACTAGTTTTCAAAAACTAAACGTTATTTTTCCTAACTTATAAATACTCTCACTCTGGTTCTTATTTTTTTAACCACATCTTTTGGTTTTATTTTGCCCATTTCATGAGTAGCATTTGCTTCCCCTTAAAAGTGTTTACAAAAATGAACTAACCCTGAAGTTATTGTGGAGCTTAGTTGTCTCAAACATTATAACCTAATTGGACATTGCATTCAAATTTTTCATGTAAACAAATAATATTAAATAAATATTTTCAATTTTTTTAAGCGTTACAACCCCCTCATTAGGTATTTTCAGTTAATATAAGGTATTTGTTTCGTGCATGTGGGCTGTGGCTCATGAAACGTTTGATTCACAATAGTGAACATGCTCAAACGTACATTCTCACTTCCCAGGCTCCCACCCCTCCCCCCCTGAAAAAAATAAACTAGGCATTTTTTTGCCATGTTTGGACAACTCCGGAAAATGAAGATGGGTATGAATTGAAGCAAAATTGAACTTTTTAAAAATAATTTTGAAAAAAAAAAATAACAGGTATTTCTTTCTTCTATTTTGAAATTAACAATGGAAATTACTGTCCCATCCTGTGGTATTCCGCATCCGCGTAAAACAGAATTCTTTACTGGCTGAGAAATGTTGGATGCACTCGTCCCTAAGATACGGTTCCACGAACAAGCCTACAAATCCGGCCGTGAATCCTCCCACTGCGTTACCTATAGTTAGCAGTCCCAAGGCGAACTCTCTTTCCTCGGGCTTGGTATACCGCGCGACAGCATGGGGCGAGTGAAGGACAATCATGCCCGCAAAGAGCCCAAGAGTGGAACAGAGGGCAATCATTATCCAGATATACGGGACAAAATGGTACCAAGATTCGAACAGGAAAAACACCAGGTGTGACATCTCAAATGCTGCCAGAATCCACGTCCGATCGCACTTCAGGAAGTCAGTAGCTTCCGGGGGTAGACATGCAAAGACGAACAAATAACTCCTACCAATAAACTTACCGATTCTGTAGGAAAGCGAGTAGTAGAGGAAGTGGTCCCGTGGATGAATGTGCGATTTCGGGAAGGCGATTGTTGTCACCACGGACGAGTTAGACATGTACTCGGCAAAGAAACTAAAAAATAAAGGGATTATGAAAGGCAAGATTCTTGCACCGATTCTCAGCTTCTCGTCGCATCGTGGTCTTTGGGGGACTTCCGTGGTCTGTTCTGTATCTTCGTTCGTTGATCCTACGATGGAATATTCAACCCCTTCGTGTTCCGTGGGCTTGGCGTGTGCAGCAGTCACAATATATTCCTTGTCCAAAATTGCGTAGAAGACCAAGATGAGTACAGGCAAAGGAATTGTCATCATAATGGCGGTTTTGGGAGAGACACAACCCCACGTGGTCAGACCTAAAAAGAGAAAATGACGATATTTTCATATCACGCAATAGCGGGACCAGGGAGAAGGTGTACGGCTCCGGACCTCCCATCCCCTCCCTCCCTCCCACTTTACCCTATATACTCTAACATCAGTATGCATATTCTCCAAACTGCTCTTTATTATGTTCCTAAGGTGTTGACAAGGAGAATTCAGTTTTTTAAAAGGAGAAATCAGAAGCTAATCACTCTAAGGGATCAAAGAATTTGATAAGTTTACGAGTCACAAGTACTGTATACGAAACATAACAAACGCCAGCAGTATATTTCAGTAACCGTGCCTTTCGAAAACCATTGGACGTTTTGATAATTTTGTTACCAACGCCATCTCGTGTAATATATTTTTAAAACTTGATTTCTAGTAGTTTTTCATAAAAATCAATAAATCATTTTTCTTTTCTTTCCACATGGTAATGTAGATAGCATTCATGTTGATGTTTGAGTTATCATTATTTTGCATTTAAAAATTATTGGTCGGGATTGATGAGAATAACCTCTTTAAGTACAGATGGTCCAAAAAAAAGGGGGAAAAAAAAGAGACATAAGAGCGAGAGATGACAGTAACATTTGCTTGACAAGATTCGAGCAAATTTTTTCAAGAAGCGATTCGTTCGAAGGCTCGGCGTAAGTTTAACGAGCTTTGGGAAGAGAACAATCGAGATTTTCCAAGAGCCATTCAATTCAAACTTCTGAATTAGTGCGCTTTTCGATTGAAAGTCGTAAAACTAAAACCAAAAGTAATCACAACGTCTGTTTCATTTAAATTGCGAGCAAATGTTCTGTTTGTCTGTTTATAAACAATTTGGAATCGACGCGTGGCGTTGATATCAAGAACGGGAAAACGCACAGGTTTATTACATAAAAAGAAAGAAATAAAAATATATTAGCGAGGAAAGGAAAAGCATTTTAAATTTGAGGAAGAGGGATTATTAGAATAAAGATGATTTTAAATTTAACAGCGTAAGGATGAGTCTCGGTGACAAAGCCACGCAACTAATATACAAGAAATGATATAGCATGCAGTCGATCAGTATCATTCATGATCAGTTTGCTCCAGGTCATGTGAGTCATGGAAAGCGAAAAAATTTACATGAATTGTTAAAAAAGGTTAGACGAGCCATCAGGATGTCTTGCTTGATGAAATGCTTTCAACTTTAGTTCTGGATTGAGTTGCTAACAAATTTTCTCGATCCTAGCGTAGGAGTTGTTACAAAATATTTCCAAATTAAGAGGAAAACGTATTTTGTTTTTCGCGAGCTCACAATAAGATGACACACGTCAATTACGAGAAGAAGGAAAACTCACTGAACCAAATCAATTAAAACAGCCATTTTTTTGAATAAGATATTACCAACAGTTATTGACCGACGATTGTTTAGGCTTGAAATCACGAATTTAATACATTCTACCACCATGAGACCATTTAATTACGATTGAACACGCCTGTTTCCAAAATGGCTCGTTCCTTGAACGGTTCAACGATGAAAGGAAAACCGACGCTCTTCTCAAAGGTGAAAGCGTCGTCTTAGTAAATCCGAAATTTTTGAAAATGTAGAATAATGAAATATGTGCTATGATTTAAATTACTTAAAAGGGCAAACAATAGCTGGTACAAAGCAAAAACAGCTGGGATTAGCATTTTTGAGATTTTTTTTTTTTTACTGAAACTTCCCAAGCGAAAAATGCCAAGCGTCTGCTTGAATAAACGAGAAACGCATTAGGTCAAGTGTGAAAGGGCCGAGCGAGCGGGAAAGGTGTGAATGCGCTTACAATATCTTTCTTGATGACAGAGCGAGTGGGCTGAAAATAAACAGCTGTTTCATTCGACGAATTTTTATATTTGTGAAAAGAATATTTTATTTTCGCGTCTCTCGAAATATCGCGAACACGACGAATTTAGCGAGAATCTTGACGGTTAAAAATTCCAGTTTGTTGATATTAAATGAAATGGCTCTTACTGATCCTAACGCTTGAAAAAGTTAAATGAACGAGAATAGTCCGATCATGACTTCTAAATATGATATTGTTCAACGTAAAATTGATGAAATCTGAATGAAACAGAAGCAATGAACTGAGAATATTTAACTTACCTGTGTAATAAAGTGGAGAGATCAGCGAAGCTGTGCCAGTGCCAGCAACGAAAGAACTAATGGCAATCTGTGGATAAAACGAAGTCAAAGCAAGAAATACTACTTCAGAAACACCAGTAGCCATGGCGTTTAAAGCAATTCCCACAAGTTTCGCTCTCATATCTTCTACGAAGACGATCAGAGCCAGCCCCAAAATCATACACAGAACGATGTACGAAGCTTTCACCAAGTACGGAATCTTTTGTATAAACCACGGCGCGAGTATTTTTGTAACCATCAATGGCGTTACGAAACACACAAGAATTGTAGATGTCGGAAGTTTTCGCCCGCTCAGGATATCTTCGGAGGCTGTATAGAGTAATTCTTGATTGAAAAAACTGAGAGTGCCGAAGAGGAAGAAACAGAGCGTATTCAACCAGCTCGAGCTTGATTCAGATCGTCTACTACCAACATCGGGGCTGAAATAACAGAATATCTCTTTTATGCGACCCCACATGGTTTAAAACTTGGCTATTCAAAGTTTTCCAAGGTTAAACTCGCCAATGCCTTCGTTTTCACGGCATCGTCGCGGAAGACAACACGACCCTTCGGCGTCAGATCTAAAGCCAACGCGAAAACTATATCTTGTTCTTTTCTCCGCTTAAGTAAATTTAGCAAAATTTGAATTGCAGATGTCGGCGGATGTCCGCCACAGGGAACTGATAACAATAGCTGCTCTCAAAACAAAGGTCATCTAATTTTGAATTGAAAAGAAAATTTGCGTAGACGCCTCCGATGTTGGCAGAAGTTTCCTAAGGGTAAAGGTTTGAAATTTGATAAAAATTTACAAGAAAAATGTTTCAATAAATTGGAATAAGAAAAATCAATGCTTAACTGTTAAAAATTAACTCATTAAAATTTACGCGGAAGCCCATCGAAAGCTAGAGGTTACCTTGGCGACTATCACATTACATAAGGGGCGATTGTTTTAAGATACAAAATTTTCCATATAATTTCGTACTATTTTATTCCCACGTTTTCACTTGCGCTTTAAGAGAGAATTATACCGTCCGAAAGCGAGAGAGGCATTCAATTTGGCAGATGTGAGTTTCGGTTTTAAATGAGCTATTAAATGAAAAACCAAAACAGATAGACGTCGACATTCAAATAACCATGGTGTGGCTAACCCTGAATAAATTAGATATTCAGTTGTCTGGAAGCCAATTCTATCCGATAATCTAAATCCCATCGTCTTAAGCGTGTAATATAGACAACCACTGCTCTAAATTGTTTAGAATTCTCCCCTTAAGAGGCGAACTTTAATTCTGCTAAATGTTTACAGATCTCCTGCTACGAGTAGTCTCTCTTAGCTTAGTAAGCCACCGCATGAAACAGGAAATGAAAATCGCTCCAGATTAATTAGTTGAACGGTTTTAGCAAGCAGCGCCGAGTTTTTTCTTTTCCAGCACACACTAGGAAGGTGGGTTAGCTCTAGGAGAGCGAAAACTACTAATTTTTGCGGAGAGGAAGATTAGTGAAACGAAAAATAATCGGGAATCAAAGGAGATTGTCAACTGGTGTGATTTCTTTCATAAGTTGCTGGTTCCGACATCAACAATGTAGAGACATTCAAAGAAACATGAGCCTAGAAACCAAAACAAAGACGAGAAAGACAATAAAAAAAACAAAATTAGGCAAATTCAATAGTGGTGTCAAACACCACTGTTGTGCCACGTCAGCGAGCAAGCAAGCGACAAAACTCCTCGCAGATTTTCAACTTACAGGTGATAAACAGAGATCTTAAAACAAGACAAAAACAAACTGACGTTTCGAATACGTCTCTGCTTTCGTATATTCCAAATCTCACTACGGATTATTTTCAGTATCTGAGCAACTGCGCTCCCCTCACCTAACCTCACATCACCCCTAGCTTGTTATCAGTTGATTGTTATACGGCTAGGGGAGGAGTACGTGCGCAGTTTGCTCAGATACTAACATTGATCTTCGATCCGTTATAACAATTTCTCCTGGAGGAAAAAAATGCGCAAAGTTACACGCCACCAAAAAAACCAAATTATTGTCAAACGGAACAATACTCCTGTGAAAATCAAGTGTTTATATTACTCAGACTCCCTCAAAATAATACGAATAACCTTTCATATATCATGCTTCTGAATAAATTAACAAGATGGAATATTTCCAAAGTTGCTTCTTTTTTTAATATGTTCGGCAAAATTTAACTCGAAGCAGAACCGTAACAATTTTTTTCTCGCAAGACAAAACATCTAAATCACCAATCCACAAAGTCAAATTCCTGCAGAATATTTGAATAAATGACAAGTGGGTGCCAGCCCCTTTATTAACTCAACATTAATCATAAGTCATCTGGATGACTGTTGTCAAGTTAGGGGAGGGGTGCGTAGGTGCTCAGATACTAAAATTGATCCAGATTTTTCATACCCTACGAAAACAGCAACCTCGAATGAATAAACACAAACACAAAAATGAATCCAACTCAGACATCACACCTTTATCACAAAAAAGACACTGCAACTAATTTTAAGTCGGAAGAGTTGTTGTCTCCAGAGCCCCTCGGTTCAGAAATCCACTGAGGAGCTTTGGTTAACTAACTTGTAAACCTACACTATATCTTTTAAAAATATTTTTTTGAATGATAAACTAATACTTACTGACATTCGAAAGAAATTAAGTCATTCAGAGCCAGACCAGACTGTTCATGCAATTCCGACCAGCGGAAAATAAGTGTCTGACATGCGTATTACATTTCGTCTAAGACATAAGGAGATGTGAGCTATGCTGCTTAGTTAAAAGCACCGTAAATGAAATAAATTTGAACGCAAATCAAAACAAAGTATTTCCCACCCAAGGAGACGTCTGCCCTTAGAACAGCGCAAATAGAACGTAACTGGTAAATATGTTCCGCTCTAACGACTGGGTCAATTTCGTTACAGAACGAAATTTACAATAGGTGTCAAAACCAAAGGGTTTCCATGGTTTCAATAGAGAGTTTTCGATCTACGTTTGGTGTGTTCACCACAAACGTCAAACTGCGGTCACTGGTTTGTGGTTAGAAGTTATCAGTTTTGAGACTTTCAGCTTTTTAGATCGAAGTCGGCTTTCAACCGGAAAAAATCAACATGTGCGCCGACATCTTGAATCACACAAAGGATGAAGGTCATTCATTTCAAACACAAAATGCGGCCAAAAGATTGGTTTCCTAGCGTCCGAAACGGATTGGTTATATATTCATAGGACATACGCGATAACTTTTGAACAGGAAGGGAAAAAGGATCGAGGGAGTTCAAACGTGGACGGCAAACGGCGAACGTGACCGCTGGAGTCTGGTCACGTAAGACCTAGACGTTTGCGGTCACACATACTCAGATACAAACGTGGATCTAAAGATCCCTAATAGCAGCGGTTATCGGTGATCTACCGCAGACTGCAAGACTTCTCACCGCCGTCTGCTTAGCTTGTAGATAGGCTCGCATGTTTGCGGTTGGCCTTACAGCACAACAGTCGCCTATTAAAGCATCGACAGCCGCTGAAACCCCTGGAAGGCCTGGGAACTACCTTTGAATAATTACCATTTTGAATGGTTTAGAAAACTAGTCAACCAATCACATGATGCAAAATGAAAATTTAAATGCAGAGCGGGCATTATAAGCTCAAGTTAGCCATGCAGCTAATAAATTAGAATACAGGATTCGCTGCCAGTTATGTACCAAGGAAGGGCATTACCAGCTTCTAAGCCCAAGAGAATCGTGGAACAAGATAACAGCCTCTAAAAGTCTGAAGTTTAAGCTAAATTCAACGTCTTCTACAAACTGTGCACGATGGAGTATCGTCACATTCTTCAATTCCTCGGGCAAATAAGCGAATAAGATGGCGATGCACCCTGAAAACAAAGAGATAAGTGTAGAAATAAGTTCAGGATCTCAAGGAACAAATGATGGTTGATTGGGAAATCACAGTGTTGACCCTGTAACTCACATGAGTGACCAGGACAGAATTTTCTTTAAAATACCAATACAATATCAAGCAGACAAGCGATAGAAATAATCGTAGATAAAAGAAACAGGTTCGTACTTTACGTGTATGGCAGAATGTGTAACCAACTCTCCATCCACGTTCCAAACGCTCCTGGCGCGGGGTCGTGGCGTCACTGATGACGTTTTTGCGGCCAGCCGCTCTTCGTCATCATCTCTAGTTCCAGTCTCTTCACTGCCGTCGTTTTCGTCACCAGTCTCACTGTCCTCACATAGAGGCCGGAAGTAAAACTCCCGCACGCGATGAATTTCCACGAAATCGAAGTTAAACTAATTGCGAGAGAAGAAAAACCACAAAATAATCAATAATTATTGCTGATCTAAAAAAATGAAAACAAGCGACAATGAGCAAAAGAAAGCAAATAGAATTTCAATATTAACCTGATCTGCCCTGGAAGAGATTCTGATCATATGTCTAAGGTACTGTAGGCGTGATGTATGTCGAACAAGAATGAGATCCAAACAGCCGTCAGCTAGGTGAGCACTAGGAGAAAGACCTTCGGGACTCTTGGCGCATGCGCATGAAATATTTGCACCAATGACACTGATGAAGCGACCTTTAATGGAACGCCAACCTGGAGAGAAAGCAGAATCATAGTCAACAGCACAATTTTTTTTTCTTTGTCGTACACTCAAGCATACGGATTAACAGCCTTCTTTGTATTGCGATCGAGGAAGAAAAATCCATCGCAAGTTCGCCCTTCTACCCATTCGCCCCCAGGAGGTCAAGTTCACTCTATCATTACCCTAGGCGATGAACGGGTAAAGGTGGGGGCAACCTTGTTATATTTGATGGGGCGAACTCGTGACTGGGGGGCAAATAATTAAGGACGAGCTTGCAATGGAGCGCAACTTCCTGATATCAGCCATCATTATGCAACCTTCTTTCTGGTCGTAAAGGACGCTTCCAACATATTCTGAGCTTGGAACTATGAAGGAAGGGTCTCACATATGATCCTTGAACATGGCTTGACTTGCTTTTCCACGTTTTCCCGCCCTAGAGGCCGGTTACCTGTGTTCGCGATTAATCGAAAACACTCGCGCTGCCTTCTCAACCAATCAGGTGCAAAACTTAAACCAATTGTGACTTGGTCTTCCGCGTTTTCCCGCCCTTTGGGCCGGTCACCGTTGTTCTTGAATTGCCTAAAAATCTTGCACCACCCTCTCAATCAATCAGCTGCATCGGTCATTTGCGTTTCCCACACTTGTTTAGCATTTTCTCGGTGCTAAACATTCCAAACACGAAATCTGAAGGGGCAAATTAATGCTATAATCGTGACAAAACGAAAACATCTTTCTTTATTAGACGAGTGAACTTAAAATTAACAATTTCTCTTTTAGCCCTGTTCGACCGAGTGAAGTAATAGAAAAGAAAAATATAATAGCGAGCCAGTGAAAAAAATCAAGGTAAAACCACACAAATTGCCAGAAGCACGAAAAAACGCGGGTCATGAGCTCGTGATCGGTTTTAGGTTTGCATTTGATTGGTTGAGAGCCTAGCGCGGATTTTCTGGAGCAATCATAGACCGTAGTGCAGAAAACAGCACTCGCACCCAGACCTTTCCATCCGGAGGCCAGCGTGCCAATCACCTTGTCTCCTTGGTA